ATTCAGTGTTCTCGGAGGGTGTACTAAGTAAACGATGCAGGACAGGTTGCCAGTCCACTGGCACTGCAGTATATGTACACTTTTTTAATTTTATAGTCACACGTGGCAAACTTGGGACTTCAACCCTGCCTTGCACGTACTAGTCAAAGTGCGAATTTTGATTATGTCAAGAGTAAGACAGTACAGTCGTTACTGTCAATTTAAGTGTTTGTAAATTTTGAAGAAAAAAATCATTAAATCTTAGCTGGTCATTGATCATTGCTAAAAACTTTTCTACGGGCTTTTCTAATTGCTCGTTCGACTTTGAGAACAAAAATCCAAAGTGTCATTTTGAGACTTACATCCTTGTGAAAAGTTCAAATATTTTGTAAGTCCCCAGCCAGTTGATCGATGGCATCCACGAGATGGCTGTTGTTGAGCAGGTAATAGTTTAGGTGCGAGCAATCGATTGTCCAGCTCCCAGCGGGGTGTTGACCCCAACCTCCCTGGCCGCTTGGATGACCGCGCACCACGGGCAGATCAACAGGGTCAGGCAGTCCCCGACCAGGCCGCCGTCGATACCCTTGCTGTCCCGGACTGCCCCACGGGTCTTGGCCAGGCACCAGACGTTCAGGACGGGCACGAACATGACGAGGGCACAGGGCAGAAAGTTCCCGGTCCCGACCGCCTCGGCCGTCTTGCCGTGGGTGTAGCAAGGTACAAACCAAGTGAAAATGCACATCCCGAGGTTGCCGAGGCAGCCAAAGAGGCGGTTGTCCCATTCTCCCATTGTGACCGATCGAGGTTGGCTGTGAATGTCCACGAAACACCTGCTTGTTGAGCTTTCTTCAACTTCCGATTGATACAGATGTGCTATTTCCCCAATGTCTTTGCATCGATATGAGGTTCATAGCTTGCAGGTTAGGCGTTTCCCTACCACCAGTGTTTACTCAAAGATTTAGTTAATCCCTGGAATGCATTAAGATTTTTTCTCTTATCACATTGAAGAGCATTTTAATGCCCTTATCTTCAATGTGCCGTAATTATTTATTACATAACCAGTGTTATCATTCGTTATCATCAAGAAAATTGTTGAATGGCAACGCAAATTGTTCTGAAGTTGTAACCATGGTAACGCATAACAACGGAGATGACATTCGATGTGACAGCCATAGAAAGATGTACATCCGAACTTTGTTTTCTAGTGCTCAATTTGTTTTAAAAATCCTGTCTATATAAAAGTTGTATGTGCAGCTACACAGAGAGGAAACCACACCCAACAACCCTTGAAAGGGCAAGGTGCATATTAACTACACGCCACTGAAAAACCCTAGTTTTTCAAAATATAGATTCCTTTTTCTTGCGTGGGCTGTAATGGTGCTGGTACACTGGAAAGATGTCATGGAGGGAGGACACTCTAAATAACGCTACTAAGATGGTTCAGAGGTGAAAACTTCAGGCTTAATAAAGTATCATGTTTGAATAGTGGTAAAGATGGGAGTATTCCATATCACACAACCAAAAAACAAACAAACAAAAAAACTGATAGGCCTTCTCCTTTACTTGATGTTCCTTAAACAGGCATTAAAGTAAGGAGGCAGCCCTTGGCATTAGCCGAAATGTTAATCCTGCTTGCACTGGAGGTTTACAAAGGAAACCAGGTTGTAGTGGAAATACCCCAGTTGTTTTTGGGTAAAGACCTTTTCACTAATAAATTCATACTTAAGCACGCATGCGCACAAATGGCCTTGGCGGCAAGAAGTATGAAAAAAAAACAAGTTCTGACGTTCAATGTACATGTACCGGTACTGTACCCATTCGATTCGCTGCTTTCCGCACTTGGGAAATCTGAAGAACCAGATCCCTTTCTCTTTGGAATCTGCACTTTGTCTTGTCCAACCCAAACACAACAGCTGGATACCATTTCTTTCGGTAGTACTCCAAGCTATGAACAAGTTCAATGGTAAGCTATGTACGTACAGTATAGGGCCTACATGTACACGTACATTCAACATCGGCACGGGTTTTTACAAATGCACAGGTTGGCTCCTAAAACACTAACAATGTATTTTATACTACTTATCATGGAAGAGGACCATACTAAGAAACGGCGATCTCGTGCGCACAGGGTAAATTACGATATAAAGTCTTTTTCCAGAGCACTAAAATTTCACTTAAATTGCAAACTAATAGCAAACAAATAACAAGAAAAAAATGAATAAAGCCGGAAAACCTGATAGAAAATGATCATCAAAGTCGCACCCTGTATACATTTTCAGTGGCTCGCTCACGCTTCTTGCCGCCAAGGCCACTTGTGCGCATGCGTGCATAATTATAAATTTATTAGTGAAGGGATCTTTTGACTTTGAGGGATAACTGAGGAAGGAAGATACTTGGGAAACGGTTTTCATTCCAGAATAAGGCATTACGTAGAACTGGCCATTAATAAATGTTTTTTTCTTATTCTCGCTTGTTAAAATTTGCAAGGTTGTTTTTCTTTGTCTTGTCTTCCTTCTTTAAAATTTCAGCCGAAACCCAAGAGGGTGAGTTTTCTCTTTACCTCGTGTGAAGAGGGTGTGCCAGCTTATGTGGGGTAGCGATAATTCTCCCGACATTGTTTGTAATTTCGAAATAAGCTGTACAGACAAGCAAAGGTTATCCTTACCTCTGGCAAATTAATTGTTATTTGAGTTTCCATCATTGACCTAAGAGGATTTCTAAACAAGGATATCTTGAAAATAAGCCGTGTGTACATTACACCATGGAGCTCCATGATTGCAATATACTTAAAGCGCGAAACAACGCGGCTGCTCCGTTGTTCAATGGAGTTATCATCGCTCCATGGTTGTCCTATACATTGCACGGACATGTGTAATAAAATCTGGGCTCGCAATGCCCTTAATCAGCTTATAGAGTCATATATTGAATCCACTCGCGGCCATTTTAGCAAGCCGAATACAAAGCTTATCTGGCAATTCCCGCCTTTGTTCTTCCTGACGTCAATAGTAGGGAGCCAACCCACGCCTTTGTATTCAGCTCGGTAAAATGGCGGCTGGTTTGCTTCTTTTTCATACAAAGGCGTTGCAAGTCCAGGTTTTTTATACGTCCGTGATGCATGGACATAGTGCTATTTATAGTTCACTATACCGTATGGAGTACTCTGGGGCAGAGCCGTAGGGAGAGTAACGCCAACCTCAGACTTTGGAACTAAAATGGCTGTTCATCATGTGTGCATTATGTGTGCATGCAGCTTTTGTGTGCTTATTAATCCATGTGCACTGACGAGTAATCGCCATTTTGGTTCCAACAATTAAGACACTCATATCGCAACTCTTTTTGTAAACAGTTTCGTTCAGAGGTGATGGAGCACTTCGCTCAGTGTTGGTGATCACGGGGATTGCAGCTTAATAAAGCCACCTATGCATCCAACCCAACTGACAGCCAGAACGATCCGACTTGCCATGTACGGTTCTTCTACTGCTACAGCGAGGCACCTGAAAGAATTGTGCAAGTTTTCACAAAACATGAAACTTGGCACTGATGTCTACTATTCCGCACAAAAAAGACGAAGGCATTGACCCTTGGAGCCTGCATCAAGACTCTAAAAATGACCGCTGACATGAAAGTCACATCGATAACAAACCTCTCGTGTTGAGAAAAAGAATGGTCCTTATCTTCAGATGGAGCATTCGTTTGCAGTGCATCATGATCACCAAACATTAAAGTACAAGTTCCGATGGGATCAAAATATAATTATTATGTTCTGGAAATGTGGGAGAATGGTTTACTTCCATAACGCCACGCACATGGGCAGAAATCTGAACAGAGTTTAACTAAAAACGGGTCCCTGAGAACGCACGACTGACACAAGTCCTCATTTTAACCAAGAACAATGGAAGCCACGCCTCTGGCTTCATATCTGAATTTTTGCCACCTCAATAAATGGGGGGGGGCTGTTTAATGTTGGTATAATGAGTACCCCACCCCCCAGGATGAGTTCGTGATGGGTTTTTCTTCTAAAATGTGAGACGTTTGATGGTGGTCACGATAAAGGGTGGGATTGCGATGGCTGTACATTCTAAAAATGTTTTCTCAAACTATCTGTTTAGTGCTTTTGGGCAAGGTGTCACCTACAATGTAGTTTATGGCATGATCGTAAAAAAGCACCCCCCCCCTGGTTATTACCACTTCTCCTAAAAGGGTGAGCTGACGAAGACCCCATTAAAAAATCTCTTCTTGGAACTCTCGTGATTTTCTAAAAAGGGGTTAATTCACCAGCGTTGTAGCATATAATTATATCAGCTGGTCTATAAGGCATGGCACCCTCAGCAACTTCCAATGTACTGCCCCATCATTAATTATCAACCAGTTACAAAGAATTAGATTGAAAAATTTGATTAAATCGAACTGCCAAATAAAGACGTGCAAATGTTGATATGACTTTCATTCTAGATTTCAAGTTCCAGCTGATGTAACATAAATTCAAAATTATCTCATAATGGATACGATTTCAAAGCTGTTTATAAATTCACGACTTTCTCATTTTTGGACAAACTAGAGACAATTTCGGGTTTACTTTTTTTTTTAAATAATAGTTCGGGCCTAATTTGTTGCACCATAGCGCAATCCATAGCAATCAGACCTACACACTAGGGGTGGGGGGGGGCAATGGGAACGGACATGCTCAGTACATCTTAAAATTCGAAACTGCCAAAAAAAAAAGAATATAAGAAAAAAGAGCGACCCCACGGGTTGGATAACTGTTATGTTTCAGCTGGCAGTAAGAGTCGAGTACATCTTGATGGTCGAAGTTCCCGACAAAAAGTCCCAGTTCTATGGTATATTGCAAGCAGGGTTGCTTGTGTACCCCAAATACAACGTACAGTTGGAAGTCCAAAGGTCGTATTTCTCCTGTGACAGGTGATGCTGCATCTTTTTTTTTCTGGACAGATCATTACAGTCTTCACACAGTGCCGAAAAACAAACTGCCTCTGTAAGAATGAGTCATGGATGAGTCAATGTATGTGTCAGACATTTCAAGAAACTTCATTTACCATTGCTTCTCTCTAACAGGAAAGCACTTACTCTACGCTCAACCTCACCACACCAATTCAATCGAAGTACCAAAAGTAAGAATAACAAAAATGGCACCTAAGGCGACAATGTTCCTCTTTCTCTGTAATGGTCATATTTCGTACCTGACTATATTTCTAAAGAAACAAAGTAGAAAGAATTCCAAAAAGTAGAAAAATACAAAAACGAAAGGTCAAATAGCCGCAACGTTAGCACAACAAAATCCTAGCCAATCTTAGCTACACAGCAGAGATTCCATAAGAGTGCATGTATTTCGTTATTTCTTTTCGAAAACCACTAAACTTAAGGAATATAAATCACTGTGGAAAACGTTATACGCTCAAGATTTAACTAACCATGGTTGGGTGAGGGTGGAATTATACGCTGTGCATTTGTTTTTATGCCAGGCCCAAAATTAAAAAAAAAAGTGCCAAAAATTGCCGGACTTGGACAAAATGTTGATGAGCCACTGAAAGTGGCGTTAGAGCACCAGTAATCACATGCTTTTAGCTACCAATTTGCATACATATCGATGAAGCGGTGGTGGTTCTTAAGTTTATGCAACTTGCAATGCATTAAATCTGAGAGCACATATCTGAGATGGTCAAGAAAAACATCTGTTTTAATCGCTGAACTGTGGCAGATTTTGTATGTTTTCGTCTTTTTCTTTCGTTATCAAATGACCAATAGCAGTGACAACCGACTTTAAAACATAGTTCTAAGATACATATAAAGCAACGTGGTGGTGAAACCCCGTGTTTTTGCATTTTCTTTGACAGTAAGTCGTCACTAACGCAGTAACCATACTATCTACAGGCGTTTAGACTGGAGTTTTTCTCAATAATGGGCCTCAAGATACGATCAAGATATCATCTTATTCAAGAATCCTTCTGGTTTTTTTTTCAGAGGACATTATGTTCCCCCCACCATTTTATTCGTATGCAGGCAGATTATTCCCCACTATATAAAGTATACTTGAATTGGTTTGTTTTTGTGTAAATTGTAAGATAATAGTACATCACATATTAAAATTTCTAGTTTTAATATCAAGCTTTTCGAGCTCATTTATCCACAATGGCGACACGAAGACACAACACTTAGTTGGAATTACGGTTTTTCGACTAAACTACACGCTACAGTTCCTTACTACTATTACACTGTGCTACACTGTCCACAAGCTGGACTGACGAATAAAGGTACATTTTCTTTTTTTTTAACTCTGTAAAGTCATAAGCCTTGCATGAGTGCCTTATTCAAATACTCACTTTAGTGCTGCCCCTCTGAGGATAATACAGTATTCCTCATCACTTTATAGGCATTTCCGTTTCCTGGAAGTTTTCTGGAATTATTTCAGTTTACAGTGTGCATTTCATTGTGATTTCAGTGTGTACGAAGGGCGTCAATCCATTTTGAAAAGTGGTGGATGGGGTGGCATAGCCCTGATCAGAACAAAATGTAAGCGCGAAGCACCAAGCCCTGAGCGGCGTAAGGTCCTGGGCCCGATCAAGGGTCCCGGAAAATATTGGAGTATATGCTCTGTGGTGTGATCCGAGACAATACTACTTTAGCCATTTTGTTTCTAAATAAATGCTTTTGTAAAGTATACATTTTCATTTAAGTTTTGGAAAAAAAAGTGTCAGTCTGTGTCTCTCTGTGTGTGTGGCGGGGGATACAACTGATATAGTATCCCCCCACCTAGAAAAGTGAGGGGACCCCAACCCCCACCAATTGACGCCCATGGTGTGTACCTTGACTTCAACTAGTGGCAAGAAAATGTGTTTTCTCAGATTTCCAGGTTTTAGCATGCACGTATAGAAATTCTTGATGTTCCCATCAACGTACTAGAATTGCCCCTTTCTCCCCCTTATTTACCTATCTCCCAACAGTCTGGCTTTATTTGTGCTCATCAGTACTAACTACACTACAACGATCTCATTATTCACCAGCAAACTGGAAAATACTCCTGTCATTTGAAGCTCTGTGTTCTATTGTTCATGTAAAGTTGATCCCATGGTATAAAGTGAAGTTGACTATTTATCCAAGAGAACGTTGTTGAGTTAGCTACGGTGTCATCTGCCGTAAGGTCGTTTAGAGCGAGAATGAAGAGTAAAGTTAGTGCAAACAGAGCCTACAAGCAGAACTAAGAAGTTGGTATGTCGAAGCCTGAGGAATTGTTATAGTTTTCAACATTGGAACTGAAGACTTGCTAACGCGGCGAATCTGAGCCGATTGTTGACCATCACTGGATGAAAGAACTAGTGGCGTGTTCTTATGTGGTTGGGAGCAGGAAGCACGTCTTGAGCACGTTGTTTGGGTGGGGATCTGTTGCAATGCTTGGGTGTTCATCCCTGTGGCAGTGTGAGCAAGTATCTCCCTCGACTTGAGTAAACTAAGGGAATAAAGTTGCGAAAATGGCGTAGTTGTTTCGTGGATGCTGATCAGTTGTCATTAACGGAGCCGTGAGTGAGGGGGGTAGCATTACTGAGCACGGTGTTACACGCGAGCCATGGACTGGCCCATACCCAGACCCGTGGAGTTGCGCATCTCCACGCTCTCCTGTGACAGAGCGCATGGAGTACAGCAGAGGGTGACCAGGATGTCGTTGACGGGTTCCCCGGCGATCCCCCGCTGCTCTCGGATCTTGCCCCGGACCACGAAAAGCGTGTACCAGTTGAGAAACGGAACGAAAATGGACAAGCCGCAGAGGAGGCAGTCTTCCCCGACGGCCTCGGCGTTCTTGCCGTGGATGTAGCAGGGCACAAACCAGGACATGAGGCACATGCCGATGTTGCCGAAACAGCCGAACAGGCCTTGCTGCCAGTCGCCCATATTGGCTTGTTGATGGTGTGCTTGTCGGTGGTCAAAAATATAGCTGGATTTTACTCAGAGTAACGCCCTTTTTGCCGCTTTTCTCCTTTCTGTGGGTTAGTTATTTCGATCTGAATTTCCGTCGTGCCGATAGACGACTGCAGCTCATGCAAATTGTTTGGGCGTGTACGCACGCGATATCGAGGCAAAGATGGACGCTTAGACTTCGAGCGGCGGGTGTTTTTTGAGAGGTACCCGACTAGCTAGGTCAATATACAATAATGTGACGCGCCACATTGTCCTTTGTCCATATTTAATCAATACAACCGATTTGAGGTGCGATATTACCTTTAATCTATACATTCCGCGAAAAACGTCTGTCTAATGAATTTCCATGTCTAAAAACACCTTTAATTTCTGGCAGCTCTCCCTAAACAGTTTATCATAATTAAATGTAACCTTAATGAGGATAATCCCATCACAAAAAAGACCTGAAGAGGAAATCAGGAAGTAAAAGGCTAATGAGATACAGTAACATTTTTATTGCAAAATGAAAAGGGTCTTATAAGGAGCTGACAGTGCAAGCACACCTACGACTATGTTACACCTATACATGTAGAAATTTTCAAATTATTCACGCATGCGTCTATAACAAACACTCTAGAAGAACTCTTTTGCAAAGCTGTGCGGAAGCAACGGTCGTAAACCTTTTGTCGTTTGGCATTGGAAACCGATCTTTGGATCCATTTGGGCTCGTTTTCTTCGCGCCGTAAATGAATAATGGTACTTCCATATTTGATAATATGTAATCTTTGTCCTTATCCTGTGCTCTGGGGAGTTTACTAAGTCAACATACCTCCGTTTTGTCACTTGACTTTGCCCCACTAATTTGTTGACAGAGACCTGTAGAGCAAATACCTAATTCTTTCGTTTTGCGTCCAGTGTCAGTTCTCCAAACAACTCGACGTTTCAAAAATGTTGCAAACTGTATGCCTACCTCTACAGCAAGCTTAAGCACTTGGTCACAACTTCTGAATATAGTATGTGTTGTTAGTATATAACTCAGTCTATTTTGAGCAAAAGCACACTTGCAAATTAATAATCATGTACACTTGGCAATGTTGATCTAAATATTTCTTTACTTTCATACCACTGTGTGAACGAGTGTATCTCAGCACCACACTGAAATACGGAAGGGAACGCAAAATTCATGCGCAATAAAGTTTCCACTACTCCAAATCCGTCAGAAATGACGCTCAAGGCGCTTAACAACAGGCTTTTGTTTTCAGGTGTGTGTCGAGCCAGCCTTTGTTGAAGTAGGCCAATGGCGGATACGATTAGAGCTAGGTGCCATTTGAAATTTGGAGTAAACACCACAGATGTCAACACAAACGAGTTCACCTAAAGCAAATAGCGCCCTCCTGTTGTGTCTTCCATACCTTGTAGGCTTATAAACGAATTGGAAAATTGAAACTGCTCGTGCATAAGTAGACCCCGTGAGATTGGCTGCTCTCTGTTGAAATGGAGTACACGTAGTGGCAAAAAAAATACTTCAGTCCGGTCGTCCAAAACCACCTGAAAATGCACAACATTTCTATCAAAATGAATAGAAACAAAATAATAGAATCCATCGGAAAAACAGATTAAAAAAAATCTACATTGAAGACACCGCCTCCAGGTGTTCGGAAACTGAAAACAGCATCTCGCGAACCCGCTAAAAGTCTGCAGCCCTCAATATTTCCAATAGGAGTAGAAACCGTTTGTATTTTTTGTTAAACCTTGGCTGGCAAACAGATTATTCAGATGAGATGCAGGGCACAGAGTAGCCGTGATAATCTTTGACCCCAGATAAGCATTGAAACCAAAATAAATTCCATGTACGTTACATGATGACACGCTGATGATAACCTTTCATAAAATCTAATAAGTTTTTTTCTCCACAGCTTTCAAAAGACACAACTTCTGAGTAAATAGTTGTATTTTTTCAGTAAACATTTCAAAAATTAGAAGCAATCTTGTTTTTATTGAAACAAATCTTAATTTAAGGGAACATTTTTTACATTGAAATAACATTATCTCAAAAAATATAGCCTATGTCTATACACTGCAAATATCGGGGTGTTACATCGGTGTTATCAGAGGACCATGCCAATACTTTTTGGTACGATTTCAACACCGTTGATGTTACTTTTAACATCTTCCTGTGTATTGCGACACATGTAGATGTGTGAATTAACACCAGGGGTGTTACATTTAACACGTTTTGGTGTGGTTATATGATAACATGAAAATGTGTTGTTTTTAACACCATAGTTTTTATAGGGTAAAAACACTGAATTATAATGTCTTTCCATCGCTATCACATGTTCTCATGTTATATTTTTTGTGTAAAGTTTGGCCACGATATAATCAACATATTGGTGTCAGCAAATAAATTTGAAGTGCTACATGAAAGTTTGTAGTCAATCGTATTGTATTTTTGAAATTTTATGACAACCTAAAGGCTGTACTTGTAGCTTCTTTTGACTTGAATACCGAAGGTTTTCTGTTTAATGTAGACCCGTTCCTTGTACATATAGGCTTTCAAATGGGTCATAAACTTGCCAGGAGAAAAGAAAGAGGAACACATAGAACACATAGAACTAGTTGTAATTAATTAATCAATCAACCAATGTTGTAATTGATTAATTATAATATAACATAACTAGAAATTAATTAATTAATTGATTAATTATTAATTAATATGATTTACAACAAGTGAATTATTACTTATTAAATTAATAAAATAAATTAATTAATTAAGCATTTTAAACAGTGTTTTAGTGTCGTATGTAGTTGAATCCCCAACTGAATGGAAACCAACGCCAAATAAATAAAAAACTGCAACATTTTAACAAAAGTTACTGCCTTTTTGTCTCTAAACAGTGACAATCTAATACTTGATGGGTGTGTTTGAACTGGGGCAGTTTTCATGGTTTAGACAAATACAATTGCCTGTTTGTATAGCATTACAAGAAGTTGGTAGGTACACAAGTTGGACATCGTGACGTCAGTTTCTGGAAAATTTATGTGGAAGGTTATTAATAAATTTGCTATTAACGGAGCTAGCAAATATTTGATCATAAGCAACTAGATCTACCATGCACCCATGTGAAAATGAACGTGTTGGATTAGATTATGTCTGTTTGAAGCCATTTTTTTGGGGGGATGGGGATTTTTAGATGTAACTTTTATGGCCTTTCTGAGAGGTGAAGCTATGTGACTGTATCGCTTTGGGGCTTTTTTGAATGTTTTTGGAAGGAGGAAAAAGGCAACATACCCCCTCCCCCACCCCAAATCACCTTTCTCTCATTATTAAAATCCCTTTGGCCCGTTTTAGGGCGGTCGTGGTCCGTGGTCCCCCCCCCCGCAGCCGTTGCATTGTGTGCCAAATGACGAAGCTGTTTTCTACGTGGGAGTCTTAAACACCTTCCTTCGTGAGTACTGGGCATGAGTCAATAAACGCAAGAATATGCTTAGGACTATGGACCTCTTCACTAATAAATTCATACTTATGTACGCATGCACACATACGGCTTTGGCGGCAAGAAGTGTGAGTGGGCCATGCAAAATGTACAGGGGTGCGACTTTGATGATCATTTTCTCTCAAGATTTCTGGCTTTATTCAGTTTTTTTCTTCAGAAAATCCCATTTAATCGTGTTTGCTATTAGTTTCTAATTTAAGTGGAATTTACAGTGCTCTGTAAAAAGACTTTATAATCGTGATTTTTCCTGAGCGCATGAGATCGCCGTTTCTTAGTATGGCCCCCTTCCATCATAACTAGTGTAAACTACATCGTTAGTGTTCTTGGAGCCAACCTGTGCATTTGTAAAAACACGTTCTGACATTCAATGTACATGTACCGGTACTGTGCCCATTCAATTCGCTGGTTTCTGCATTTGGGAAATCTGAAGAACCAGATCTCTTTGGAATCTTTACTTTGTCTTGTACAACCCCAAACGCAATAACTGGATACCATGAGCCTTATCGCAAATACTGCATGGGTGATTTTGCACAATGGTAGAAAGGCACTGTCGGAAGGAAACTGGGGCAATGTTTGCTCCTTTATCCTTCCAACAATGCCTTTCTACCATTGTGTAAAATCACTCATGGAGTATTTGCGATAAGGCTTATTACTTGCAGTAGTAATCTGAGCCATTCCCAAGTAAGATGGTAAGATGTACGTACAGTACAGTATGTACATTGAACATCGGCACGTGTTATTACAAATGCACAGGCTGGCTCCAAGAACACTAACGATGTAGTTTATACTATATATGATGGAAGGGGACCATACTAAGAAACATCGATCTCATGCGCACAGGAAAAAACCACGGTTATAATGTCTTTTTACAGAGCACTGTAAATTCCACTTAAATTAGAAACTAATAGCAAAACGATTTAGTGGGATTTTCTGAAGAAAAAAATGACACTTGAATTTGAAACTAATAGCTAAAACGATTTAATGGGATTTTCTGAAGAAAAAACCTGAACAAAGCCAGAAAACCTGAGGGAAATGGTCTTCAAAATCGCACCCTGTACATTCTCAATGGTTCGCTCACACTTCTTGCCGTAAAGGCTATTTGTGCGCATGCGTGCATATTTATGAATTTGTTATAGTGAAGAGGTCTATTAATGGAACAAAAGATCTTTCAAAATAAATTTTTAATGTTCTTATCAATACTATAAAATTTCACCGTTGTTGATTGATCGGATGACAGGTACAAGTGAACAGAAAGCGGGGTGAAATTTACTGTGGAGTTGGGAAGGTACGGATGGGTACATCGGGGCGTGAATATAGTTGATACGCACGTATCGGCCCTTAGCGTAGGAATGAAAACTGAAGTATGAATGCAAATAAGTTATCAAATTATCCCTTGGTCAAGCCAGTCGGTAATTTTAATGACCACTTCCGGGCAGATACAGGATTTTTCCGGGGGGTGGGGTGATGGGTGGCCGTTAAGATTTTTATGTGCTGTTGTTGCGGACAGGTAGACATAATATGAGTAACATGGGTAATGCATTACAGTATTACTAATGAACAGCCCTTAGGCGTACACATGCAATCTTGTTATCTCAGCACTGTAACTGCTATTAAATTCTTTAATTTTTCGGTGTCATACCTAGCAGATGCAGGGGCTTGGTACCCAACCTTCCTCTGGATCCGCGCCTGCACTTCCAATGATTAACGTAATTTCAAATTAAGATGGGCTAACCTTGACAATGTTATTTCTTGACAAGAATTTTAACATCTATGTGATACCATCTGAAGCGACGGTAGTGAGCGAGTTCGTTGTAATTTTGGCTGGATTTATTATTAACGGATCCGACTGGGAAAACCTAACGGGTACATCATGCAATAGGAATCTCGCGTTTACAGGCTCGGGCTAGTAAATAGGGTAACAAGGCCTACGTTGACTAAGGGAAAAACCAGATTCAATTTGTTGTAAATTTTCTTTTTTTGGGGGGGGGTGTTTTTGGAAGGAAAATGCTACGTTTTGTATCTTTCTGGCCGGGGGGTCAGACTATATTTTGGTGCTTTTGCACGCTTCTATAGAAAGAAGGGAAGGAATTAGACCCCCCCCAAAAAAAATCTATCAATCGCCTCTCATTATTTCTTTAAAAAAATCAGTTCCCCCCCCCCGGCGCTCTTGCTGTTAACAAAATCACACCACGCTTCGAACAATATTTGTTATAATTAACTTAGCCAATGAACCTGGTCGTTTGTAAGAAAGAAGGATGGAAGATATCAGAGGAAGCTTTTTTCATATTATTTGCGACTCAAGCATCTCACACAGGTGCACTGTTGGCAGGCTATTCATACTAGTCTGCGTACAGCTGTACGTGTGGTGCTCCGACTCGGTGCAATCTCATGATTACACAAAGGGAGGGTGGCTTATCATAGCAACTGCAATTTTGAGAAATAATACTCCACCATCACCATTTGGGGGGAAAAATCTCAACCGGGATATCTCAAGAACGATTCAGTTAGAATGCCAAACAGCTAATATTGGAAATTACAGTGCAGGTTGAACTTTCAGATTTGTCAATACACACTAATTATGAACAAAACGTAAAGAAACGTGAAAACATTCAAATACACATATTTATTGTTCATGTGCAAACTTAAAACAATAATTTTTACAATAGCGATGTTTGCTTCTGATACAAGGCAGCATTGTCATAGTAAATTAAAACAATTAAAAAGAGACATACTTTGGTTTTTTTTAACTTTTTCCTTATGTACAAACGTCTCTTCAGAGAAGACATTACTTGCATTGTCTTAATTTCCTTAATGTGCATGTACATGCACAGCAGCATTGGCACAAGTTACAAGACTGAAGCCACTCCAACTCATTCAATTAAAGTTATCACTGAAAACAATATTACTTTACCAAATAAGACCAGCAAAGACGTTAATTTTCAGACTCCCGATTCACCTACAATGCCACTAAGTCGACCTTCAGGTATCCGAGAGAAGGCATATCAATTCTTGGGTAAATTTCCGAGCTAGAACTCTCCTAAACACAACAAAACAGATCTCTGGATTTTTACCATTTTTTTAGCAGCAGCTGCTTAGTATTTTAAGAGTTTGGCAGATGAAGGATCCCAAAGTGTTTCCTTCAAAACACTCTTCCCCACTATGATCATCTTCAAGACTTCATTGAGTTTTCAATAATGATTTGATCTACCAGTGCCACAACACTGACTTTTTACTTTGTGATCGCTGACTACGCGGAACGTATGCTACGCGTCATGAACAACAAAGCATGCCGAAACTGTTAACACAGCACCTGCAGGCTGTTACCATACCCATCGTCTGTCTCCTCGTTGCGCATGCCCAGTGGAAAACACGTCGTAAACGTCGGCAGCACTTGCTTAAGTGCTATGCACTCCCTTCAGTCGATGGCCAGCAAGGACCAACATCCACCAGGACACAAAAAAGACAAAACCTACTACCTTAACTCCCTCTCATATTGTTTTCAATACAAAAATATATCTTTTGATTTAACCTCAAGTGCTCCCAGACTGGCAATAACCTTTTTATAGTGTCTATCCCATTCGAGTTATGGCATTGTAGTTTTGCAAATTAAAACAATCACCACAAAGCAGGATTGTCTTCATCAGGCTCAAAGCAAAAGTAGTTCATTCTGGTCTGCCCGCCCCCAACTGCGCTGTTTCAAGCAAAATGAGGTATTCAGTTTTGTAACGATCTCCGTTATTCAACTAGCTTTCCTTACCTGGATTAGAACCACTGGACAAAATCCACGAAGTTATCAGAAAGCTTACCCACAACAAGAGTTTAGCACTTTGGCATTTTTGCCAAAAGGATCCACAGAATTCTTGGAGAGTTCAGACTACTGCTAACTAGAAGCTCAAAAAAGGAAAGTTTCCATCAAAAATCCAAATGCACCAACCGAGGCTAAACAATTTCAAAAGCAAACAAAAAATTCAAAATATATAATCCACAAAATGACGAAAATAAGAAATAAATCTTCCCCTTTTTAGTCACTACGGTGGCCAGGATATTACATACTTTTTTTTTTTAAAACTTGTTCTTTTGTGCGTGTAAACGAAAATACGTACGCATAAGCCTCATGAGCCATAGATACCTGAATATATAACTATTATTGGGCACGTATGCCATAGAGTATATGGCACCATGTTGGACACACAAATCGACATGACTTTCATGTACGAACACGTTTATACTACATTAATGTATACGAAGGACTTGTACATGAAAAACCAAAAAGTACAGAATTTTTTCAGTGATGTCGTTTCCAGGTCCCCGTTACACTCACACAAACGCCTGCCAACACACACATCTCCCTGATAAAAGAAAATTGTATTCATAAAATAATGTATGCTGGAGTTGTGTGGTTTAGTTCACTACATGTAAATGTGGTAATTCATAATTCCGCGGTGGCTCAAAATAACCAAATTAAAACAGTTTTTCAGCTGTGCAAAAAGTATTACACACATGCAGAAATACGGAAATCGGCAGTAAAGATGTATAAACAAATATATATTAGTGGCCCAATGAAACTTTGACGAATGTATACATTTACAGCAGCCAATGCTCTGTCTTTTCAACAGCAGTTCTGATCCACAATGCTTCTTGCCTAAGAACACAAGCACTGCAACAACACGGGGTGGACTGGGAACCACTCATATGGGGAATTTAACCACATGGTGCCAAGGTACCAGACCACGAGGCCCTGACATTCCATACGGTAAAGGAGAAGCAGTTTCAGAAGCCGAGGAAGCACATACAACAATATCAATGCACTGAGCCAGAAGTAGGCAGGGCAAAAACTGTGGGAACACGTGCAGCATTGATAGCGGGCAGTACTCTGGCATTATCAGCGTCCAGGTGCCACAAAGTATTAGCTTTCGTATTAACTCCACTGTACTGGGATTTTAAAATACAGTCCAATCAAAGTCCATGACATTGACAGTTTGCTGAGCGTTATGGTCCTTTAAATACATGAAACACCTTTACCATAAGTACGACACTAAGTGTACTACACAGGCGCAAATAATTGTCCCGATGATCTTTTAAATGAGATTACGATGTGTGCTCTTTTCAAAGGCAAAATTAAGTATCTTATATACCCACTCAGCTACCCAAGTCTCTGCAGCAACACGAATAACCAAACTTTAAATAGTTGTTCTTCACTGTTCCACTTCCCTCAAACTCTGCAGCAAAGATTTCCTTTATATTTCACCTTTTTATACTGATTGCTTCAAATATGATACATTCAAACTATACATCCAGCAAAATTGTTCTATTTATTTTTTGTACAGGTTTCTGGTTTCCATTTTATACGTAAAAAATGGCCCGCATCCCTGGCAGCATGTCTTATACACCAACACCTATACATTAGGAACACACTGAAATGGATCTTCCGTCTATTCAGAGAAATATCAGAGAAGAAGTGCATACCCGGAGTTGGTCTTCAAAATGCGCAGCATTCATTAAGCACTTTCTGCATGCAGTAATTCTTAATTCAACATCGACCATTACGAATATGTTTGATGCCAAACATTCATTCACACTAAGTCTGTGACTCAAGTAATATTTTAACCCTAAAAGAACCGAGTTATTTTGGACCATTTCATGCCAAAGAAGTGGATTCTGCCCCCCCCCCAATAAGCTATACCAGGCCCGATTTTTCTGAAATTTGGTATGCAAGGACACTCCTCAGGAGATGTGAACTTAAACTCAACGTGAGATAGTGTGTTGTTACAGAAATTTGAAGTTGAAGGCCACATACGTGCCAGCCCATTTGCACGGAGCGTGGTAGTAGACAAGTACACATTCGTGGCTGACCCATCTCAAAAAAAGGGCATTGCGCAAGAATGCTAGGTTCGATTTCTTAAAAAGTAGAGTCAAAATGACCACAAAGAGTTACTGAAAAAACTCCTAAATGCTGGGCTTGTGAACAAAAAAAATCCCTGCTGTGATATCAGACAACCTGTTGAGGGGTGTGGATTCCATCCCCCGACTCTTTTAGGGCTAATCTCAACAAAAGCTGTCCATGAAGGTGACCTATTTCAATTTTACATCACAATAACAGTTTTAGTCTAGTACTTTCTGAGCACTTCACTTTCTAGCAAACACTGAGCTGTTTACCGTAAACACTAAGAGAAGCATTGACAGCAAACAGCAAATCAGGTCACCAAAAAAATACAAACACGAGACTCTGGACATATTCAGTGAACTCTGGGACAAGAGCAATCAATAAAGACTGAACAAGTACTCAGTGAAAACCACTGAGAATGTTTTAAGTATTGATTTGTTGAGATGCTGATAGTCCAAGTATGAAATCTCTTTTGGTACGTATAATGCAACTTTAGCCACACCAAATGATCATAAAATGTTTCACTAATCTTCGTGCTCAGATAGAAGCTGACTCTTTACTCTGGTCACAATTTTTGTCAGGTAGCAATGTTTATGAAACAGGAAGTTAAACTCAGGCTATTGTCGATTCATCAGCTCTCTTTTGTAGAGTAGGCAATGAAATCAGCTTTCTACAGACCCAACACGCAACTCCGAACTCCACAGCGTGACACTGCAGGTGTTGGAACTTGCAGGTGCAGCGTGTACAGCATGCTGGTCAACATCACTCCATCCTTTGTTCATTTCTTGTCCTTGACCGTCAGCGACTTGACCAGCTCATCATCGTCCAGTATCTCCAGAACCGGTTCCCGCCAGAATGTGAAGGCGCTGTATTCGTGTGGCGAGACAAATGCCATAGTCTGCTCACGATGCCGAGGAGGGAAGACGTGCTCCACGAGATCCTGCATCTTGGGGTACCTGTCAAAACATGACCAAGGAATTTCTTTCATTTTTGAGGCAGCAGAATGCGACATCTGTACCTTAGGAAGTTGCATGATCAGAGCTCCAACTCTGTCTTCTGAACATGGCTGAGGAAGGGAGTCCAGTGATCTTCACGTTTTTCCAAGACATCATCAACAATTCGCTTAGGTTCCCAGAAAAATGTGCTGTAGATCATAACAAATCCAGCTTGACTGAATGTTCACAGTGGAAAAAAACAAGTATTTTCACTGAGTTTTTAACCACAGGAAAACAAAGGAATGTCCACATAAGGTATGCAAAACAAGTTTGTGTGTGGAAGCTGTATGCTGCTCTGACACAGATCGCTGCCTTGTGAAGGCTTCCTTTCTTATTCAAAGGCAGAAATCATATTCAACTTGCCTGAATTCTCCAATCATGCTGCCAAAAGGAATATGGCCCAAGTTCCATTTTCAAATGAATCAAGTACCAATCATAGTTGTTTGAAATTCTTTTGATGAACCTTCCTGCTTCCATCAAATTCAATCAACTGGAGGCAACCCTGGGCCATGTTACAAGGTTCCACTCTAGGCCCTACTTACGAGGACTGGAAAGTGTAGGTGTGGTCGTGGGTCACTTTCCCCTGTGAGTTGATAGTGAAGATCCTGGAGACAGGAATGCCTACTGCTCTATACGCCCATGTGTCCTGCCAAACATACAGATGTGACATTTATGTGACAATGTGTGATTGTGCGAGACACAGTGATTTTGCAAGACAAATTCCAGACATCTTGCTCAAAGCTTTTTTTGAAGTGACTTGTGTAAACTGTATTTAACCCAGAGCAACAAAAATTTATGCCCCCGAAAGAAACTTTGAGAAACAAAGATATTTTATGCAAATCGCCATGCAAAAAACTACACTACATTTGTAGTTTGCTATAGCTTTCTGCAAAAACACATACAATCAGCTGGCTTCGCTTTGAACAGTAGGCGAGTACTCTAGTAATTTCATACAGCTCTATACTGTGGCCTTTGTTTTAGGCGAATATGAAAAATATCATTAAAAAAACAATTCCCCGGTCAAAAACGTCATGCACTGTTGACTTTGGGGGGGAAGATTGGAAGATTTGGCACCCAATACAGACTGCCATCAGAGGGGAGTCCCTTAGTTCAGCAATGGACGAAAAGAGGTTTATATCCTTACATTGATTCTGTTGCCAAAGCCTGAGTAGAAAGGGTTGGAGGGATTGGTGTTGATGCTGGACGGAAATAATGACTTGATGTCCTTCAGACATCGGATCTTAAACTCTTCTGGCTTCTTGATTATCACCTCTCTGAAAAATAGAACAGTCCAGAACCACAGAACAGTTTATATGTCCGTTAATTTGTTTTACAAAGATCTACAACACGGCATGACTTCATTGAGCAAAACAGTGTACCTTGCATCACAGGATGAACTGTAATTTATGGCTCTTCAAGTAAAATAGCAATTACCTTGTCCTTCGCAACAGAAATGACTGGATTTTTAAAAATGTTTACATAATGGTTCATCAGATACCTGACACCAGTATATCTTGTTCACATAGGTTTTCATAATAGTAGGTTTTGTTATTGTTCCATTTTTAAAATCAGCCCTGTATGCTGTCTACATAATTATGTGGCCTCTTGAAAATTTCAAACTTCGGGAAAAGTCAGTTTAGTTCTAGAAAGAAACAGCAAAACAAGAAGAAAAACAAGTACTACGGACATAAACCAGTGATTAAGATGACACCAGAAATTACTACAAGCTCACGGATCAAGGTTCATGATTTCACGTCAAGGGGCTCTCACCTGTGGAAAGCCCGGATGAGTGAGCTCGGATTGAGCAGAAGGGGCCCATCTGGAAGTGCAAACTTGTCTTGACAGATGCTCTTGAGATAGCCCTTGGTGTGCCGGGCCTGGCCGATGGCCCTGGACGACAGGTAAAGGAAGACAAAGCCATTCTTCTGGATCTGGGAGAAGAGCTGGGCCACTCCGCCGTGGGTCCAGTCCTTGCCCAGCACCGGCAGGATTTGGCCAAACACGTCCGACCTGAAGGGAGTGGTCGAAAAGATGAAACTTTTACCAAAAAGCACGAGTAAACTCATAGAAGACGTGGAAGAACATAAAAAGGATGAAACTTGATTCCTTAGTTTAAGTTTCATTTCAGAAAGTAATGATAAATGTCAGCATTGCATGGGGAGGGGAAAGGAATCTCCATCTCTGTATATTTCTTTTCGTCTGGTATCACAACCCCTTTTAGTACTACATCTATGTTAACTGCTTTTTTTTCAGGCTGACACACTAAAAGTTTGAATGGATGCGTCTTGCTTGTGATATGCTAAAATCCGACAGAATTCTGCCTCTAAAAGATTAATGACCCATACAACATGAAAACTGGATGCCAATTTTTTTTAAGTTTCTGAAGTTTTAGAAGTTTTACAGATGTCTTTGCTGATTCTTATATTTTCACGAAGACTCTTTAAACTGCAAAATTAAAGCAAATGAAGATTTATATCAGTCAGGCTTTATCGCAATAATTTGTTTTAAAATGATCTCAAATAGCCACTTGCTGATGATGTTGTTCCATGCTATACTTGGTTGTCATTTTGTTCAATATCTCTGTGACATTTGTTGCCACATCATCAAAACTTTGAGCCCATGTTGTGGATTGATATCTGCCACACCACCAAGCTGTGGCCAAGGGGCTGCCTTGGGGAGACACATGCTCAACCTTCATAGACTATATCACGCCACTATATGTGTACAAACTCAATGGGAATCACTTCAATGTGAGGGCAAGTATAAATGTCCATCGCATTTCGACACAGGGAATCCCTGCCATGCCATCTGGAATGAAATGGTTTGAAGCAGGAGTAGTTTGACTCCTACGGCATATATACGCGTCTTCCTACCTTGTGATGGTTCCATCTATGTCAGAGATGACTATTTTGCTATCATGTTTCCACAAATAGATGGTGGACTGGCACACTGTTGTTCCCTGGTACCTTGTCGTTACCGAGTAGGTGATGACATTTGGTCCAGGCTTCAAGTTCAGTTTGGCCTGCGAAAATCAGACGAGAAACATGTTCAGCCTTCAGATGGACAACTGACTGTGAATTGGAATCCAATGCACGAATTAAGATGCCAGACTCCTTGAGGTAGGTGCTTCATTTTTCATTTGTGATGTGTTTGGCTGTAACTTAGAAGCTGGTTGCTGTATCTTGCCTTTTTAAAAACTCAAATTCTCAGCCAAAAATATAACAATGTCATCAAATGGTCAAGGGGCACAATGGGAACACAAGACATTCTTATTTCCCAAAATGGAATGGAACTGGACAGAGTTCATGCCATGCTCCCATACTGGCAATCTTCAGGAAAATGGAGAGTGCAAAGCAAGTGGAGAGCAAGGCCGAGCATGCAGAGATCTCCTCATTTTGAGATTTGAAGCAACACCATCCAGCTAAAACTCACGAGCTGCTCGGACGACAGCCTGATGGACTTCTTGTAAATGCCACTTGGGGAGCTTGTGACAGACTGGGGGTCCTGGTCAGCCGCTTTCTCACTGGATTCTGTCTCATCACTCCAGTATACAGTGTCATCTCGATGCCTGCCGAAGAAGATACTAGATCTGTGAGTCAAGAACTGTGAGTCTGAAAGTAGGATGAGACTCAGACTCAAGTCATCACGTGATTCTGCTCAGTCTGTGACTCAAGACTAAATACGCCACATTTTACATCACCATATACTTTAATAGCATCGTATGTGACCAGATTTTTAAAAAATGAGTCTTATGGTCTCTGTGTCAGTAACGTTACAGTTTGCATTAGAAATAGCAAACCAAGCTCTTCCTCTGACGTATCACTAAACTATCTTGATGATCATGGACACCATGCAGGTAAAGGATGTTTTACATTGTGCATGATTCTGTTAAAGGTCTTCTAAAACTCAAAAATGGCTGTTGAAACTTTGGACTCACTTCATTATGTTTGGTTACAATTGGGGCTTGAAAGGTATAATACATTAACCAATTGCTGCCGGGTGCCTTTGGAAATGCAGTGTCTAATGCCGGGCGATTTTTCAATATCTTAGGTTTACAAAAATCTTCAAAAATTAATTTTTTTCCCCCCGAATGCCTAAATCCCATCAAGTGACTGTCTTGTGGCTACTCTAATCTGACAGACAACATCTATTGATGCCTGAGTATTTCAGCCAGGCGTGGCACCTTGTAAAAAGAGCCCAGATTGTGTGGTGTTATGTAATTTTCTTTTGTTTCAGAAAACTGGCACAGTGCACTGCGTCTTTTCATTAGGGGCCAGATTAGTGTGCAGCAGTTTTGTATTGCCCATCAGTGAAGCACTAGAGTGCTTTTGTGCCCAGTGGTGATCCACTCACACTGAATGCCACAGTGATATGATCTTTCTAAACATTGACGGATTTCCTCCACCATAGAAAAACTGAATAAAATGTTGGCAATGCCCAGCAGCCAGGTATTTTGTTCTGAATACGGGCTTTTGTTATAAGGCCTACCTCTTTTGTCCAATTTCGGGAACCCTGGCTATGCCTAAAAACCTAGGGTAGGCGGGACGAAGTGGTTAAACTGTGTCTGTGGTCTCCTGCACAGTGAAAGCTTTCAGAAACTTCGTCGAAGAATGCCCGATGGGGATCATGAATAAAGACCTGCATTGAGACTAGACACTCAACTCGCCTTGCCAATACCCACCTAGCTTCTTCTCTGTCTTGGGACACTTCACTGCTGGTTTCAGCTCCCTGTATTAAGAAACACAGATGACTCAATACAAGTGTTGAATACCGGTAAGATAACATGTCCGTCACAAATGATTTATTTTTGGTGATTTCAGGTGACTACTCCAAAACCATGAGAAATATGTTGTACAATTTGATTTTTTATGATTGTATAAATTAGGGGTTATGATTGTATAAGTTTATCCGTTATGACTATTAGAGGTTATGATTGTAAATGTATCCGTCTTTCCATTTTGATTGTATAAAACAGCCTGGGAATGGAAAAAATTGATGCTTGTTTATGAATCAAATGTAACTTTAAACGAAAAAGAAAACTATGGTTTTGAGTTGTCACTTTAAAACTGTGTGTATTTGGGTGTGGTCCCTTTTGTTAGAGCTTTTACGCCTGGTGAAGTTTTGGGCATTCGCTAGAGTATGAGTGTCACGCCAATGTACCCATATCTGGTTTACACATGCAGATATTTCAAGCATGAACTGCCAAACAGAGTTCACATATGTGTATGAATGTGTTTGGTTGGATGTTATTAGTCGCGGAGACCCTCCCTGTGGGTGCGGTATATTCCAATTAAATATTTTGTGAGAGTATAAAACCAAGTTTTAGGGAGTGACTCATCACTTAGTGGCAGGTAACTCTGACTCAAAGTCTCTGGGGGCACTGAGGCCCTCTGAATTTGCTCTCCAGTCTAGAGAAGGCTGACAAAAGTTTTGTGTTGCCGGCTGCGGCCGATGAGTGTGCATACCCGAGCTAGAATTGCCACTAAGTCATGAATCCTAAAGCCAAATTTGGTCTGTAAGTTTGCTTTATTTATTGATAAATATTGATAAATCATCGTTGAAAAACTGTGAACCTTGGATTGCTTGAAACCCTAAAATGATCATGGTTTATGTCCTAACCATGGTGGACTTTGTGACAATGCTGAAGTGGTAATATACAAATATGAACAAGGAAAGCAATGTCAATGCCTACTTACAGAAAGATAACGGAAGTACATGAAAACATTTGGCAGATGACTGCCCAACAAAATGCAATATCTGACCTTTTTAGGTGGAGTTGACGGTGGTTTAGAACTACCCCAAAGCCATGATGTCAAGCTGCGTTTACCCTTTGGAACTTGGTCTTTCATAAGTGTGCTCACAACAGGCTGATGAAAAAACAAACAACGACGAATGGTTTCCTTTCCTTGCAGACAGGCTCAATCTCAAACTAACCATAGAAGTTGTCACTGGGTTGATAATAACTACATGTCAAAGTCAATCGCTAGTAACCTAATAGTCTGGTGTTGCTCAGTACAGTATGGGTCAGAATTTTAGCCGACACGCTGACATGATCTGTGAACCTGACACGCTGTTCAATACACGTTTTACGGTTTAAACCATGCATTGCTGGTCCAATGCACGAAAAACCTGACCCTGGACCTCATTATCTCGGCAGGGCTTGTGACCGCAGACCGCAAAGATGACTGACAACATGTAGTGAACCACTGCACATGCAGAGCTGTTGCTCCAGCCTTGTGTATGCATGTACACTGTACATGTACACTGTATGGCAGTGCACTGAATAAGTGAAATCATGTACATGTAGAGCCTGGCTGGCAAGATGACCGTCTTAAAAGTATCAAAATATGTATGATAAAGCCGTTTAATTTATTCTTTGATCGCGAAAGTTGTTCAGTCAGATTACATCTGGAAAATGTCAAATTTCAGTGAAACTGGCCAGCAGTCCATTGTGTGTGTTTAGATACTACAAAACTTTTTTCCAAATGTAAGCTTTGAATTTTAAACTGATGGGATTGACAGGAGTGACGAAAACGCTTTTCCTGCTGGTTCTAATGCTAGATCGGTTTTAAGCAATTCCAGATTGTGTGAGAAACTTTTTCACAAATAAACAACAACTACGAAAGAAATCCATTCCTCAGCCAGGACTATTATAACACGCTGATTTTACAATGAAGTTTTTCTTAATTTATGGAAATTTAGTTCATGTGTCGGGATTCCAGTACATTTAAAAAACACCCACTGAAGTTGCGTAAGACTTTTTCATTTGCTGCCACACCAACAACAGACGTTGTGCCGCGACCATGCCGCAACCAAGCAATCACGAAACTACAACCACCCCGGCGCTTTCATCCCAACCACCAATCATAAATCGAAACGAGTGTATTGCATATTCATTTCCACACAGTGCCAACAAATGCAAAACTACAGTCCTTTCACGTCACACGACATGCATATTTATGAAGTCCACATGGGTGCCACTTTGTCCGTTACGTGTAGCCGGTGCATGCACGTCACACATGCAGACCCGACTTCCTTTTAAATCGGTACGATCTTTGCTGTTTGGTTTGGTTGTAATTTTGTCACAGAGCGATTTTTTTTGGTAGATTTTCCAGCTCCAAGGTCGAAAACTGATGGGCAAAATCTCCACCTCACATTGAATTTATATTCATGCAATTTTGAACGCACTGAGCTCGAGTACGGCAACAACTATCTACGTGTATGCTAGGATCGCTGCCTTGGGGGCCCTCTTGACTGAAATTAGCTAGCGGATCGGCAAGATCAAATCCTGTTTCTCTAATTTTGGAAATACTTTGTCATAAAAACTGCTAGTTATAGTTGTCTCTGTTGGAAAATTGATTACACGCTTCAATATTTTTTGTGCCTGATTCAGAAGTGTTTGGGGCAATTCAGATATAAATAAAAAAATGTTGCCTGCATGGCACTTTCATCGATTCTGTATGGCCAAACAAAACGCTTCATCTTCAAAAATGATTTTGTGATGCCAGCTACATACAAGGTAAACTACTGACCACATTTCCCTGGAATTTTAAGATAACTTGAGGTGCAGTCAAACTGAATACTTTCCGTTGTGGGAAACTAGGAAAATGACTGCTCCGGTCAACAGAGGCCGGGCTGTTCTGGGGTTTGCATGTAGCGTGTGCATGTTTATACTCAGCAGATTGGATTGCGGTGTCTGCGTTCTCTGTTATTGCAGGGGGCCAGCGTGTTTGTGGTAAAGTCCTTTCGTGCTTGTTTGACTAGATACACGCTGACACGCTAAGCGTGTTTGCATGTCAGCTAAAATTCTGACCTGTACCGTAAATTTTCAAATAGAGAATTGATAAATCTGACCCAAGACTATACTATAAATAGTATAGTATATTTATATATAAATACTATAAATTAGTTTTTAATCTACACTTCCCTAAAACAATATTCCCACAAACTTTCTGTTTTGCCAAATATTCACCGGTTCCCCTGCAGAATTCCTAACCACTGAAAATCCTGCTTTTCACAAAGGTTTTTCTTCTCTCCCCTACCTCTGGGAGGGGTCTACGATATGCAAGGAAGGAGATGATGACTGGTCCAGCCGCCTGCCAGTTGTAGTACTTGCCATCAAATTTCACCACAAGGCTAGGGTTGGAGAGAAGTTCCGGTGACTTGGAGAATTCATCATAGGTAACTAAGTGCTTCATAAATTCATCTGCAAAGAATTACAAAATCAGATCCAATTATAGATACTTCCCTGAGAAACAATTACTTTTGGTTAGCTTATGTGAACAGATAAAATGAAACTCAACCCAGCCAAATGCTTGAGGATACTGATACTAAAGTTTTTGGGGTCATTATCCAAAATGATCTTAAGTGGACCAAACAAATGCAAAGTATAATCAAGCAAGCTAACAGCAGACTCCATGTTACGGGTCTTAAAACGTCCCAGCCTCGCACGACAGGATTTAATGGCATTGTATACCAGTTTCGTTACACCTGTAACCAAGTATGTAATTCCTGTATGGAGTGGAGCACTCACACATCATGATAAATTAAGTATTGAGTATATCCAGCATTGGGCATGACATATTACCGGTATAATGAGCCATGAGTACATAACTTATCATGAGGTTTTATCCATGGTTAATGTGGTTTCTTAGGAGGAACACAGGGCTTCCTTATGTGTTTCTTTTATTGAGAAAACCTTAAAAAAACTGTTCAGTTTAGGCAGTTCCTCCCCCCTGAAATCACAAATACTAGATCCTCTAGAAGGAACCAGCGATATGTAGAACTGCACTGTAAGACCACCTGTATGCAGAAGAGTTCCATTTCGCACTTGATTTGTTTATGAATCAAGTTTAATATTTAGGTGGTTGAGATGTTGCCACTCGAGTCCTTTTAACCTTTTTAAAAATATATTAACTGTGTGTTTGTAGTATTTTCATAAAGTCATTTTTGTGTATGTAGCTTGTATTGTGTATATTTTAATCTCATGTTGATTATTTATTTTTATGTACATTTTTCAAGGCTTTTAAACTGTGTTATCAGTAAGTAACTGGTGTTCTTAATGTAAATCATGTGCAATTCAGCTTTGCAGCTGCGAATCATGATTTAAATAAATCACTACAAATAAATAAATACAATCATTACCATGAGGAACACTGTCATCTTCATCTTTCAGCCCACCGCAAAGGGATATCTGAAGATCCATGGCAGACTCACTGCCAAAACAAAATCACAAAAGCGTAACACAGTTCTCTACCACAATCTACCACAAAACCTTCTTACATGTACTAACAAACTCCTCTTAGCTGCGGAACTCTCCAAATCCAAACCAATCATTATCAGTTGCGACGTGCAAATGCAATCAACTTACTGTTGTGACGGACAATATTCGGTCTTAATATCTGACCTTGAAACAACCTTTAAGCCACCAAAGCAAATATTTCCCATTGCACAGATAGAACACCTGGATGGATTAATGTCATGTTGAAATCACTAACTGCTGTACTATAATGTAAGCTTCATCGCAACAACCGGTAATGGCAAGCTTTTGTTCCTTACACAAGACTCTGCTTATGTTGGCTGACACGTCCCACAAGGTTTATTATGTTGGCTGACATATGCACAGTTTGCAAGAACTGGAATGTGTGCTGTCGGTTACCTGCTGTCTTCCCGGTACCCAATTCCACCGGACACCTCTTCCACTGTGTTTGGAGACTGCGGCAGTGACGTTCCCAGGTCAGATGATTTGTCCTCATCACGGAGTTCATCGGCTCTATTGGAGCGCTCAGCTCTGACAGAAACAAGTTGCAATGTAGACAAGGGTCTAAGTGGTGAGGGGAATTTGAAGTGCTGTGTGCATGTAAAAGCACGACTAGACAGATTCACTTATTCTTGGACCTGTGATGGTCTGGCACATACACACTGAAGAAAATTGCAAAAATTTTTTTAACCCTTCAGCACCATTTACTATTTTTAAAAGGGAAGCCAAAGATCTCACAACCAAAGCCCACCTTGAAAAGCTCCAAAAGACGCCGCTCAAAGTGGAAAAATGAGATCATATTTTAACAAACCAAAGACAGTATTGAGGTGGAAAGTCACAGGTAGGCGCACACGTTCATGTGCATTGTTTTGGAAGGGTGCATGAGCATGTACGACCAATGTCTGCCCCAGGTGGATGTACGAGTCCGGCCGAAAAACTTCCCACCTAGCTGTCTCTTATTTGCAGGAGAGGGAGCACTTTCACTTGATGCAGATGGCATTTTTCACGACCCTCACCTCTCAGGGAAGTACAGAGCATAGACCTCGGGGTCAATCTCTTCCGACGCCAGGTCCTGCAGGTACATGCCCTGTTCCACACCCTGGCTGTGCTGGATGTTCCTGAAGACGTTGAGCTTGCTCCAGACCGACTTCTTATCATCAGGCTTCTGCTGGCTTTCAGGGTCTACTGATTCTGCTTCAGTCCCTGTTCCTTCCTCCTTTGGAGATTTGTCCACATTACCCTTCAAGTTGCGCATTGACTGTAGGACAGGATTATGGACATGAAGTATTAATTCAATCCTACTTTTGAACACAATAGAATACTGTTATTGTCCAACTACCTCTGACCAGTCGCAATTCTGCTGCCATGTCCATCCTTGCTGTGTTTCATCTCTGACTTGAACACACCATGAGCACAAGAGTTTTGCTTTTGCTGGACACTTGTCTCATGTTTAACATTTTGCAAGGCATGTTGAGTTGTAGGGGTATTACAGACTAAACTCCCAAGAGTGTTTACACATGTCTAGCGACCCACTTCAGGCATGTCAGGCTTTTTTTTAACGCATTACCCCAGGGCAATGACACTGGCTTGTAGAGGTATGTACTTATTGGATAATTATTCATTGCCTCCGATGACATATCTGCATGTACAGCTATGGAGTCCCTTAAAGGAACAAAAAGTTGGGTTCAAGTGCACTATTTCAACCAATACATGTAACTGTAAATTATGCACTTGGCATTACCTATGCAGATGGACTCATGCCAACAAGAAAACTTACACGTACATCTGCAGGTACATGTAGCAACTCAGAACGACTGATTTTGAAATAGCACATGCTCAGTGAAACAAGCAAACCATTGCCCAAAGGAACATTTAAACACTCAGAACAAGACTCTTGCAACGAGCAAGGGCAAATGAGTGGTCAAGTTGTGTTAATAGAAAAGCAGCGGTTAGAATTTAAAGTGCAGCAACAACCTGTGCAAAGGGAGGATCATCAAAGGAACCACACAGAAATTGGAAACCTCTTAACAGGGAATGAAAGGGGAACTTGGATTTGGGGTATTTGTCATGCATTTAGGGAATAGAAAAATGGGAGAAGAGAGAAAGGAAAACGGAGAACAATCTCAATCCCCTTCAATAAACCATCAATAACAAATGGACATGTTCCACATAAAGACTGTTGAGGAGAAATTAAACAAAACTACAAGTGAATGAATAGAAAGGAAAACGGAGAACAATCTCAATCCCCTTCAATAAACCATCAATAACAAATGGACATGTTCCACATAAAGACTTTTGAGGAGAAATCAAACAAAACTACAAGTGAATGAATTCAAACTTGAGGGTTATGAAACAAACATGCATAACGGTGATAAATGAAAATTTACATTTCATCAGAACTGAATGACAGATCAGAAGAAAGTTCCCCCGCTTTGTTTGTACATCGAAAACCCCAACAGTTCAACTCTGGCTGTCAAAATACCGTATATATGCAATATCCTTGTACAGTCTGAATAATTTCATTCACATATGGTAATATAGAATGGCCTACAATTACATGTACAGTACGTGCACTTATGTACTTGTAATACATGTAGTCTGATTGCGCTCGATAAGTCACATGATGGTGACCTGCAGTGAGTATCAAACACTGATCAACAAACATGGTGTCCTCCCAGAGCAAAGTATGTTTTAAGTTTTGTTTACCTAAACTAAAGCCGATTTTGGGCACAGCACTCAGCACATCAGGACTCTGAGTACTGTAGCACTGACAGTCAGCTTTAGTTTTGGTAACATTATGACACACTTTGCTATGGGAGGGCACAGGGGTCTATTTAGAAAAAAATAATCACATGCACTGGTGCATGTAGGCTTTAAAAAGTAACATGCACAAAAAAAATTTCACGGGCACAAAAATGTATCCAGAAGGGATAACACTCGGTGTAATCAAGTGTATGAGGTAGAAGACGAAGGATTATGTTCTGTAATGTCGACATCACTAGCACAGTGTCGCCACTTGCACACGATTCTGCTGAGGCACATGTAGCTGTAGTCACAATCTCTCTCAATCGCATCATGAACGCTGGCAGCTTTTTGTCTCCACATTGATAAGACGGTATTGTTTTGAGGATTTTAAGCACTGAACTGCTTTTTTTTTTAAGATGGAGTTTAAACTGACCGTGGCACAGTTGACGGATGGCACACTAATAATGAGTCCTGCGTACGAACTTCAATAATGATACGCATACTTTCAACCACTCACGTTGCCCATTAACTGCAGCAGCAAGCTTGCAATACAATTCACGTGTACACACAACATGCAGCGGTTGCCCAGAGGGGTACCAGTACTACCAATTGTTAAATCAGAATGCTTGAATTTCACGTTGGCCACCGTGGCCATGGCAGTTGGCGCCCTAACAATTGGCAGTGGTGCCCTGAAAATTTCCACTTTGTCCACGCCCAAAGCTGGCTGTGGGCCCCATTCTTTCTGGCAGTGGTGCCCCTAAAAATATACCCAATATTTCCTGTATGTTTCCGACTTCATATTCATGTGAATATATTTCATGTTGTGGTCTACCGGTACACGATCGTCTTCATGCCACGGCCAGGGCAGCCAAGCTGGCAGACCCAGCGCACCCCAGCTGTGCATGCCGTATCGTGTAATGAGGCTTGCCTGTGCTGCGACTGACTTCGATTTACGATACATAAATGGATGTATATTTAATTCTGCAGTCTAACATTTGGTGGACGATTATTCGCTGTAGGCACGTGCGTACAGGTGTGTGGGGCCTGCCAGCCTAACCCGGCATAATGTGTAGTTACTCAGCTGGCACATGCGTACGTGAGGTTAGGCTAAAACGGGCCTCTACAGCTACGGCTTGGTCTTTTGTCCCCCTAGTTTGGGATCATGTATGCACCCACACAGCAGTCTCAATTACACGTGTGTACCCGATTACTTGGGTTAGTCAACTTTATGGCGGGGGGTGGGTTTGGTTGGTAAGCTTGCGCTGTGCAGTCCAAAAAGGATGCTTCAAAATACTGTAGAAACAAAACAGGTTCTCTTTGTTTAAGCTGCGGTTTCATTCACTGGTTTTTTTTAATGAATTAATATTTTCTAAATTAAAAAATGTTTTGTCAGAAAATGTGCCTGTTCCTTCATGTAATATGATGTTTTGTCATGGGTTATAAAATATTAAAATATGATACCGGTAGCTCAAACACATATAACACCATTTTTCGTTTTTCCAGTTTCATAACTCATTTTGCAGAATATTTCACACCTTGGCCTCAGCGCCTTTCCTGCCTAGAAATTTTGGCATTGTTGCCCCTGTTATTGGCCATGGTGCCCCCATGTCCCATTTTCTTGAGGCCAAAATGGCAGTGTCCCCAAAAAGTCAAAATTCAAGCCCTGTAATTACAATAGCCTTGTCTTTTTACAGTCGTTTTTCATGTTCCTGCTGTGTGGCTCACATAGTGAATTACATGTACATGTACATGAAGTCGAAATTTTGAAGAAAAAAGTGTTTACAAAACGGCTACAAGCCTTTGAGTACACCTCATATGGTGACACATACCATTGTATAGAGTACCATGGTGTGAAGTCAATGAACCACACTGGTTCTCGCGCTGATGCCTTTTACACACTAACTGTGCGCGTCACTTAGCAGTACAATGTTTCAGCGCAGTGAGCACTTTAAAGTGATTCACCGAAGCGGATGCCTGCTACACATACCGTAGTCCATAAGATGGGCTGCTACTGACGGTTCATGTGAGGTGTGTGTGAGAGCATACATGTACATGTATTAGCCGGTAATCACGTGGCAGCATGGGTTCGTAAACCAAATAAAAAGCAACATCATGGAACCAAGATGTTAAATCTTGCTATATCGCGGCTGGAGATACTCCTAGATGTGAGAGGCTATTGTAGTAATTATAGTGTACAATCGTGTGCATTGTTGGAACTGATTTTGTATATATGGTTTAATCATCAACAATCTGCCGGTTGGTAAGACTGAATATTCAGATACTCGATCAAGTTGAAGGTCGAATATTCGAATAGTGAATTTTTCGAATTGGCTCAGCCCTGAAACTAAACTTTAAAGAAATGTCCCTAACAAGTAGCGGGGCAAAATATGCAACACTGCCATATGACCAAAATTGAGTCCCAGGTGTACATGTACATACATGTACAGTGTATATGTAGTGCAAGGGTCTTATACTGAAAGAAACCCACATGTAACACGAGTGCAAACATACCAGTACATTGTACCGGTATGTACATGTATGCGCCTTCCATTAGTTCTATAAAATCCAGTCCTACTGTATGCTATGATATATCAGACAGGTGAATGTGACAATACCATTCAGATACAATCTACATGTTGTGAATTTCTAGTAATTGTTTATTTTTTTCTGCATCAGGATCCGTGTCTACACCTGCTGCAAAATGCATGTACCAGTACATGTAGGCACATGCTGATGATAAATGTAACCATAACTCTGGCAGGCTGTGTCTGACACAGCGTTATAAAAGTCTTCATGAGTCCTTTCAAACAGCAAACAGTAACATTTGACCTCTAAGCACGGGCAGTGAAAACAAACTCAATTACACAACTTGTACGGTAAGTGGCATCAACAATAAAGAAACAAGAACAGATGACAAGGAGTCAGTCACCAACAGGAGATGAAACTGGGGTGAATGCATGAAAGGTTCAGAACACATGCGGCACAAGGAGTAGGGAAGGGTTTCAAACGTCCGGGGAAAGGGGAAGGAGAGATTTGAAGATACATGTACAGTACGTGTGTAAAAACTGGTACCTCAAACACCTCTTCATCTGCAGAAGACAAGGATTGGCTGGACAAGCGGCGCTGAATGGGGGAACAAGTTGGGCGTAGGGAAGCAATTAGTGTAAAAACCATTTCTAAAAAGCTGAAAGCAGATAGTTGCAGCAATTTCCCACAAACCAGCCAGTAGTGTTCTGCAACCTGTGCAAGGCTCACAGTTTGGTGCAAGCTCCTTTTCCCCAAAGCACGTGAAGGATGCCTTGATGTTAGAAACAATAAGAGAGTTTAAATTGCTGAAAGTTGTGCAATCTCTGTATGCTATATTTTAGCACCATGGGAATGAAGCGATAAAAGATTAACCATAAAAAAAAAAACATGGAGTTCAAACAAATCAACCCTTACACCCCACATGATGCTGGTTCAGTTACTCAGAACCCAATTGGATTTTGCACTGCACAGTGAATCAATGATACCAATGTCCTAACTTAGTTTAATGAATACAGTACAGTACATGTATGTACATGTAAATGAACATGTAACTTCAAATGATGTAACATTTCCATACAGAATAACTTTGTGCTTGTTGTCACGTACATGTAGTACTGTTGCCTTATAAATGTAAAATAAAAGTGGAATCACAATTACCTATTAAAGCTTCTGATGTTAAGTGAAAAATTGGATAATTTTGCATTTCTCTTACAATGGAAACCTTTTGGCCATTCTGAAATAAAAACGGGCACTGGTTCAAGTAGGAGTTGATTTGATTCAAATAATAAACTTGCTGAATTTACAATGATCCGCTTCTGGTGGCAGCAAACATACATGTGAACAAGGACACTTGTCAGTTGTTTCAGATTCAACATAAATTTCTGAAATGAATGTGTGCAAGTGAAAAGCGATCCATCTGCCGAGTAGCAATGACAAGTAAGCTTAATCCAGCACAGCCATGTCACTATAGTGACGGTAATCAGGTGATATACATGTACAAGGTATACTTGTAACTGTAATCGGGCAGAGACAGAGAGGTTGAAATTCCAGCAAATTCCTTACCCCGGGGAGCTCACCCCAGTTCCACTCAATCTTGTCGGTGCTGCTTGCTGATCGGATGTGACCTGTTGACTTACTACGATTGTGGTCTGTCCGGGCTGTCTCCAGCTCCGTGTCGCTCTTTGGTGTCGGTGGGCGTGTATTCACAGGGCTATAAAGGCAATCATCACAACATGAGGATAACACGCACCAAAGATATAGATCGGGCACTCTTGTCCGTAACTATGCCAAAACAACTAAACAAGATCCCAGTTACATGACACCTAGAGGTTACGGTTGAAGGATGCGTCTGCAGGATGAACCTTGAGCTGGACCAAGACTGGGCAAATTTTCATAGCAATGGCAGCTCCTTTGGTCGGAACTGAACCTTGATGGTTCACAAACGAGTATGAAACGCACACATTACGGTGGCATCGCTACCAAGAAAATGCGCGCTTCTGGCCAACATGGCTCTTTTCCACTGATGAGAAGTGCTTCTGCTAGATACGGACTATAAAAGTAAATTTTCATTTAACTGGAAGGTGAGTTCACACTCCCCCCCCCAAAAAAATGGCCTTGTAATGATGATTGTTACTGAAACATAGCATGAAAGCTTAAAAAAATTATCTTATTGCTAGTGTATCACGCCTACCGGCCCTTTGCTAAGAACATTTGGCATCTTGTCAAAATTTACAACAGTGGTTTAAAACATCTGCAAGATAGACAAAAGCTGTGCTCAAGGACAAACCCTGGAAACAAATCCAAGCCTGTATCATTTCTAGGTTACTTGTACAGGTAAGTATAAACAAACTATCACTGTATTATTTCATGGTGCATAAAAAGTAGAATATCAAAATCAAGATTCACATGACCATAACTTCAAAATGCATACCGGTACAAGTACATGTACCTCTCCCCTACTGTGACCTTACCTCAGTATTCCTGGAGTTAGGTCCCCATCTGAGAGTGGATGTGATGGTACCTGGACTTTCAGCATCTCCTGACGCATGTTGAGCCAGTCTTCACTCTGTACCTTTCTTGGTGGCTTGAAGGCCCTTGTGGAGGCCCCTTCCTCCTCAGAAACATCTTCAATTTCAAAGATGGCATCGTCAGTGTCCGAGTGCTGCGAGGACGAAGTGCTGGACTCAGAGAGGTTCATGAGACGACGGCTGAGGGATGACTTCTCTGGGCAGCTGCCAGGAGGTGGTTTATCTGTCCGAACTGTTTTTGTTCCGCTACCCCTACGTTTCCTTTTCTTGGTCATCCTTCCCCGTCGGCTGGATTTGGTCTCATTCTCGATCTTCATCAGAGTTTCTTGGGCTGCTGACGAAGCAGCTGAAGTCCCGTTGCTCTTCTGGGATTCATCCTCGGAGCCGTTCTCAACGTCAAAGTCGGAGGATCTGATTGCACCTGTGAACTGGAGCTGTTTCTTATTCTTGCCGCGACCGATCTCAGTCTCGACTGTGATGGCGACAGGCTCGTCCTTGGTCAAGTCACTGATGTCCACGATCGTGTTTCCTGATTCAGGCTCCTTCATGGCCTCCAAGACACGCTCCGCGTCCCTCTCCTTCTTCTCCAGACACTCCGCTGAGCTGGTCCCCTTGCTGCTGGATGACATGTCCTTCCCAAGACTGGTGTCTGACTCTTTGCTGCTCTCTGTTTCACTACGGACATGGCTGGCTTCGGCGCGGAGCTGTTTCATCCCATCTTCCATGAGGCTGCTTGAGGAAAGCAATGGTGAGGAACACAAGTGGGCAGGCACTTTGTCCTGTTAAAAAAAAATTACACCACAGAAAGAATATTAATGACCAATTATAATTAACCATATGAAAAAAGGCATCACATGGTGTGTTTCTAAAATACACATGTATATCCAATCAAGCCCCTCGTGAATGGGCTATACATTGTTCCCAACTGATACCACAAAGCAGAAAACACAGGTACATGTAAAAAAAGATAAACATGGAATTCATGTATAAAGTCTTGAGGATGAGTGTGTCCCTATGGTTTGGGTTTGTAAATTATCAGTTGGTCAGGGGTTCGGCTATAACAGTCTAGTGAGGTTGGCGCAGTGTCTTTCCTCACCTTCCACCTCTAGGGGCCAGGGTTCAAATCTGGCTCAGTCCACTTGTGGATTGGGTTTTCAGTCCCTACCTGTGTCCATGGGTTTTCCCCGAAACATTTATCCAAGGTTTTCCTCCTACCTCTAAAACTGAACATTTCTTTATTGTCTTCTTCACTGATAATCATCCTGTAATTAACGCTAAATGAGCTGTTGGATGATCAGATACAAATAAACTGTTGACCATACATGAATGATGTCCTTGGGCAACCCATTTCTTTCCCACTTGCCTCTGTACCGGTAGTTTTAATGGGCATCAGAATTAGCTGGGGAGTAATCTAGCATCAAGAGGAAAAGTTATTCTCTTTCATTTCATGCTTCTGACATTGCAGATGAACGCCAGCATGACAGGCCAAATTGGCTTGTGACAGACTTTGCACTAAACATTCAAACTCACCTCAACTGCTGCTTCCTCGAGGAAGAAAGCTTCGCCATTCTCCCCCAGTTTCATGCGCAGATCCACTTGCTCTCCATTAATCTCAATGTATACCTGCATCATTATAATGATAATCATTTCCCACTGGGTACGAAAGTGCCTCCTTTTGTGAAAGTTGATCTCATTTCCTGCAACCTTCAGCTGAACAACTTACATGTATTGTTGTGACAGGTTATCATATGAAAGCATCACTCACTGTGCCATCAACTCCTTTGTCATGTTTGTGGCCGCAACTGTTTCATTTTCTTGGTCAAAGATAAGATCCTGGTGTTTGCCATCTTGACAACCTTTGCTCATCACACCATTCACTCTCACTGGACTACTGATGTTTCCACTTTAGTATCAGGCATTAACATGTAAGGGTCTATGATCAAATTCCTTGTGACTTTCCATGACTGAATCACTTGTATACTTATCAACCATTTCCATACTACAATATTGGTGGACAACTGGGGATTCCACAAAAAGCTTCAAGAAACAAGTCAGACTAGAAAGATGATTCCATTATTGTCCAGCAGAATAGAACCTCTGTAAAACTATGTTTCAATTTGTAAATGATTTTAATTTCCTTAATAGTAATTTAAATGTACTAGCCACCTTCCTCATCTGTCAAAATCCAAACACCATACATGACTACATGTACATATAGTAAACTGTGCACATACACAGTTGGACTCTGTTTGTTTGTGGTTTGCCAAAATCCCACAAAAAACACAGCCAGTTTATTGCAGGGGTGTGAGTCGCCACTTAAAATTAAAGCTGAAACCAGCTAGCAAATAGCTAAAATGTAAGAAGTCCCCATACATTTGTACACAGCAGGTGCACAAAAAAGATGAAATTGAGGGTCAACATTTAAACAAAAAAAGCTAACATCAGATTAAAAGCTGAATTTTCATACTTCTGTTATTGGTGCAGTACTCATTCTAACAGATTCCAACAGAATCTGGTGTTGGAGTTTGACTGGTTGGGGATCGTTAGAGTTCATCACTTACCACTTTCTCTCTGCTTCGAAGCACACCCATTTTGCCAAAACGAACGTGGAATGGGGAGCAGAAAAGCGACCCATCTTCCTGTTGTACGACAATCACGTCAATGGCTCCAGTGAGTGTGGCTGGGTTGATCTCACTGTAGAAAGTCTTGAACGAAGACAGAAGACGACCCACGTAGTTCATGGTGAAGCCGTCCTGAGTCCTTCTCTACATTGCTAGCAAAGGGAGGAGGGCCTACATGTATGGAGTGGCAAGAAAAGTACAAGAAATTAACCACAAATTATTAGCATCTTAGTGTATCATGATTGTGAACTACATAGTGTCCCAAGTGAAACCAAGATAACTGGTTTGCCAACTTTTGATGCCAAGGGATCCAACATACTGCACACTGTACATGTACAACACTGCCTAAAATTAACTATCTTACATTTGTTTTACAATTAACATTTTCGAAACGAGTGGATTCGGCTTAGACTTCCATTTTGCTGGTTCCACTCAGATATGTCAGAGCTTGAACATGTGGTTTCACGCTGCTGGAACCAGTGAAACCAGAGTCTCAGCCTAATCCACTCGTTTTGAAAACACTCTACGCCTCATACAAGCAGCACTGCATGCTGGAAATGTAGGGTATTTTCAAGAGGGACGGTTCTTGTGACTGGAGCATTATTTACATGTCTCTTATTGACACTAAGCACTTTTTAACATACATGTACATGTAAACACTGTCTGAAGAATCACCTTCAGTGCACATACAAAAATCTATGTGTACAGTATGCTTGTCACACACATATACCAGTACACGTGCACCATCTATGTACATGTACGGTACCTGCCTGCACTGTGTTATCAACTGTACAAAATTTTCACTCAAAAATCAAGTCATTTTAAATTCATGCATCATAAACAAAACTTCAGATGTAAATGTTTATAAATTACTCATTTATATGGAAATGCTGGTACATTTGAAGGCCTACAGTGAATATCCAGTTGCCTGAACAAAACTGGCAGGTGTCTGGTTCCCATTTAGTCTTACTACTACCGGTAGACACCTTGCAAATTCTATAACGATCTTCATGAAAACAAACCAAAGCTTTTCACCACGTAGTTGCCAACAAAAATGAAACAAGTAAACTGATTTGAGCCAGTTCCTCAAAATGTTGTCTGATTTATATGATATCAGAATACAACAGAGTCTACATGTACATGTATACTCAGCAAGCTACCACGGTACATTGTACAAATACTGGTACATTGCGCTGACATGTGCACTATACTGTACCTGCATCCACTCTGGCTAGAACTTAGAAGCACCCCCAAACCAGCAAAAAAGAAACAGACTGGAGGGAAAATTTTAACTTGTTACTCAGCACACACACCCAAAAACTATTCACTGAACAGAAACTTGTGGGTTGTGCTAAATGTACAGTACATGCCGGTACATGTACATGTATGTACCTGTACATGTACTTGTACATGCAAAATGTACATGTACATGTACATTTTTGCACATATACACGTACAGGCATGTACTGTACCGGTACTTACATTCTGTGCCAAATACAAATGAAGCCCTGCTCAAAACATGGATGCCAGTATTTTTCCACTAAAGAACTTCTTTAGAAGCACACCACGTCTTATTCCTATACAGAATGGATTGTAACACAGTAGCAAAATGCTTTACTGTACATGTACATGTACGGTACATCTGGCAGCACATTTTAATTACCGATCATGCAGTCAACAGGTTTAACCGACCCTGTGAAAAAACAGGATCTGGTTCCAATAAAACCTGCAATTTACTCAAGGTACCGGTATAGGTACTGGTATGCATACATCCCAAAGAACATATTTATGAGTGCAATGCCAAGAATCATTCACCAAGCGGATGATATATGTGTACATACAAGTAGAATTAATCATTTCAAATGGCACTAAATAATTCAGTGACGCCAGAACAACTCACCAATCTCATGAGATCGGTTTGCTCAAACAATACATAACCTGGAATTGCCAACAGATTTCACGCAATAACCTCAATCTTTTCCTACCTCCAAGACTGTACTAAAAATAGTAATAGAGAAATGACGACCAACTTTTTGATCAAGTTCAAAACATCTGTCAGTTCATCATGTGATTGCGGACACAAATGACAAGGTCCAAGTCTATCCCGTTCATGTGCACACAACTCACACTTACGCAGAAGTCATGATGATGTGACCAAATTGTTTGTTCATGCCGATACTGCACAAACAAGCAAATTGATTTGATGACGATTATACCCGGTACATGTCGGTAACTGTGCATGTATACATGTACATGTACAGTACATGTACCCGGTACATGTACATGTGCACTGTACTTGGTTCCAGAAATTTGAAGTGTACAGCACATCTCCGTCATTCAATTGTATTCTGTTTTTATGAGCGAGCACTGGCATGTGACTGGGCATACATACTAGTAGCTTGTATTAAATTCACCTTCCAAGATGTCCAAGATCAATTGATCACATACCAGTACATGTATAGTACTGCAGCAGAGTAGTTAAGGCCATTGAGTCTTCCGGTTAGAAGATGAAGGCATGCATAGGTTCAAATCTGTGGTCGGTCTTGAGGTTATACAGTTCACCTCTACAGACAGTCATATATATCATCCTTTTATTGTTAGTCAATTAAATCCTACATTAAACAGCAGGATACTCGTATTTCACATTGTTTTCATGATTTGTCACCTTCGAGGATTTTTTCAAGTGACATTAAGTCAGCAACTGCACTACATGTACATGTACTGTATACTGTACCAGTATGGTAGGTCCTAATTCCATCTCATGAATCTTATAAGAATTCAACATGGTTACTGTATGTGCATGTACATTACTGGTACATGTACTTGTAAGCATGGAACTGATGAAGATTGGTCAGGATAAAACGGTCCCCTAAAACACAGCACAAGGTCTTCTGTTGTGCCGACAAAAAGGAAAAGGTACTTTGGTACTGCTTTGTAGTCAAATATCTGTTATAGAAAATGCTCATCACTCAAAAAAAAAAAAAAATCCATCACAAGTACATGTACACAGCTGATCACAGCTTACAAAATGGGGCATGTACCGTACCCTGTAGGCTGAATATGCAAGGACAATCGAAGAGACCCAGTTCTACAATTTTCGACTCAGTGCTGACAAAGCAAATCTCACATGACGGCTGGCATTTGAGCAGGAATGAAGGCCAAGTTCTACATGCACATGAGTACATGTACATGTACACTGTATGCTCTAATTTCAACTTGCAAAGGTTGTGACTTGGTCTGTTGTGTAGCATCCCCAACATCCCACGTTGCTTTTCTACAGAAGGTCAATGATATCAAATGAAAGTAATAACCCTCAACCCTGCCCACTATCATGTTGTGATTATGTGATAATCACACCATAGAGGTTGGACCCAGCTCTTTGATCAACTGATTAGCCATAGCCATCACCACAATGCACACACTACTAATTAAGCATGCACCCATACAGGCTTAAATTTTATCTCCCCCCCAAAAAAAACCCAAAAATGAATGGGACAAGAACCATAAATAAAGAAGATTTATCTACATGTCTCTATACACTATAGAAAAAAAACTTGAATACATGTAGACATTAATAGATGTTGCACGAGTGCTGAAGCCTGCACGTATGTATTGCACGAGTGTTGAAGCCGGCACGTATGTACATGTACACTGTATGTACACATGTACTCATACAGTACCTGTAAGCATCCATGTGAAACAGAGTGCTCATAACATGAACATGAAACATACAGCACATTACTGTATCCGTACATTTACAAAATAAATAGTGTGAAGAATAATGGACATTCATAAATACCAGTATCTATTCAACAATGCGTAACGAGACCGTGTATTAACATTTGATAATGCCTGCTGCGATTTGATAATGTCCGATGTGTACACACATGTACATGTATGTAATGCCTACATGTGTTGGTACCTGGCAACGAAAAAGTTTAATCCATTCCCATTGGTCAAGAGTCTGTGTACGCTGCGGCACGCAGAACTCGCCACGAGTGCACCAAGTCTATATAAGGGAGATTTTCCTGGATTACTTGCACAAGGAATACACCATAAAATGAATGGAGGTGTTTGGGAAAATGAAAGCAAAATTCTTGAACAAAATCCATGGAAATTTATCGTTTATTGACTTCTTTTGACTCTCCGATTAAAACAGTATTTACGAATGGGAATGAATATGTGCTTGGTCAGTTCATGGAGCTATTAAACGCAAGGAGTTAGAACAAAGTCCCTAGACCACAATCTAATTAACTGCTCCGGTTAGCTCCATAGACAAAGCGCGGTTACTGGCCCCTGTGTTGAAGACCCTAGACATTCTTTGTACACAGTGATCGCCACCACCGGGTAGCTTGTAACCCACAGACTCGCCGTGTTTCACTGCGGCACACTGGAGTAAATAAATGGTGGAAAAGATGCACTAAGAAGATGCGCAGTTCAGGAGTCAGTGAGAGTTCCCCACAGATGACAGATGGGTTCGAAAATTCTGTATCTGCAGGTGGTTATTTGGCAAAAGTCAGATGTTTTTAAAGTCAGTTATGACATTTTGTGGTTCTGGCGGTACAGAACAAATACTCAAAATATGAACTGCCATATTTATATCATAAGTCGCAATCCTAGTGGTTCCTACAGTTAAAAAAAGGTGGAAACATGCTGCAGAAATGCATTTGACATAGCGAGGTTTCATGCCTGGCCAATTGTGGCCAATGACAGGAAGGATCTTCCCATGTTTTGTATGTTTTTGAAATTTTCTCTGGACCAGACCTCTTTCAGTTTTTTTTTCGCATACTTTTGGAGGATTTGTGTTCGTTAGTAATTCTTTTTATTGTTAATTAAGAGAAACATTTTGGGGATGTAAAAATGTAACCAGACTTTCATTATCATTGGAATATCAGAACAATCACTACAATTATCGAAATTTAAGTCTCCGATGAGGGTGGTAAACTTCCGTCTCATGGCGGCCACGTTGAATGTGCAGAAGTGTTAGGGACACGCATGCATGGTACCCACAATCCTTGGCAAATGCAACTGCGAGCATTCTTTATACATGTACATGTAGCCCGCAAGCGGCATGTAATTTGTTTTATCTTTGCAGCATGTGCAGTGCTGACGGTGGCCATTATTGACCCTTTTGACATGTTTGATCTCTAATACTCCTTGTGTACAATAGCTCCATACCATGGTCAGTCTAACATTGAAGACTGGCTCAGGAGAATGAACCTTGTATACTGCGGCTTGGGCATTAGTCGCGACAATTCCCCTGAGCTGGTCTTAAACGTACATTTAAGACTGGCCAAGCACACACATTGTAAATGTATTTATTCCCTTATTAATTTAAAGCTAATCTGAAGAGAGCATCCTTCTCCGCGGTTACAGAGCATTGACACAATGTACATGTATGTATGTACATGTAACACGTACCGGTGGCTCGTCTCAACCTTAGCATTTAAACATGTATCGGTATAAATTCTAGTACAAATTGTTGCCGGCTACATGAAGTACTATGCATTCTTTAACTTGCGTGGCGGGCCCGTAGTTACATGTATAAAGAAACATTTACCTGTTTGAAACTGTCATGGATAAAACGAAGTTTAAAAACATTGTGACTTTTGAGTGTGTTATTTATCAATTGTAAATTGAGCCCACATTTCCTTTGGATAGAGTAACTGTAACTAAAAGGGCAGTTTAAAATTTACATTCCTGGCATTTTGCCAAGGAAAACGGTTAGCATACATGTACATGTACATGTACGTGTATACTGTATTGTGTACCTTGCTATTCAAAAAGGATTGTAGTAAATATTTCACTAGCAGATTCAAGGTCCATATCTGGTAGGCACAATGACAGGAATTTCATTAAAGGTGGCAGCTGGATCTGTGCCAATGACTTGGCAGCAAGCCAAATGTCAGTGCCGTATGCATTATCAGCTGCTTGTTGTAGTAGAAATGGCAGAAATTATTGTAGTGCACTGTTGGTAAATTATATACATACACATGAACCACAGAGCTACCATGTTGAGAAACCTTACAACATGTATGCCAATATCAGAAACAGATGAAAACCTGATTTACAAATGTTGCATTTTCTGATGGATGGATACATGTACATGTACGTTATACAAGACACAGGTTCTACAAGTTCAGCCATACAATGTTATATTCCCTTCCTGCAACATTTCTAACGGCTATAGGCAAAAAAAAACCATGAAAACAAACCTGATTTTGCTCACTGCTTTTGGAAATAAGATCCAACAAAATATGTGCAAGCCATTTTTGGATTACAAAGAGAGAAATCAGGCAAACTTTCAGGATAAATTTGGCAATATTTCAGAGAAATACATGTACATGTACCACAAGTACATGTTCAATATGGGTGGGAATTTGAAAAACGTTTGGAAAACTTTCCCATACCGTTTGAATGTTTAAACGTTTAGCCAACACTTTACAGAGGACACCGCCTGTCTCGGTGTTTTCATGTGCATGTAGTTCAACAATGCATATGATTCAATCAATGTAGATTGATGTTACCCAGACACTTAAAGCAAGCAATCTTTATTGTTTTGAAATCTACTTTTTCTCTCAAAAGGTGCATGGATACTGCAAGGATTACATTTACATGCCAAATTGCGTCAATCAAAACATCTAACCTCTATAAGGGGTGGTTACGTTCAAAAGTTTGGGAAAATCTGTAAACAGATTTGGAACTTATTTCGTTCAAACATGTAAACGTCCCACCTTTAATGTACAAATGTAAGTTTATGTACACAACATTTTTCAACAGCCTCTGGTGTCAAAATTACTGCAATTTCATTTAATCTACATTTCATGAATTTCATTTCACACAACAGAAGCTTTTATCAAAACACTGTCTTCAAAAAAGGCGACAATATTAATTTCTTTTCATATTGTACATGTATCAAATTACAGAACCCTACACGGCCCCCTACATGTACATGTATCAGGCCACTGAATACTTCACCAGTACCTTCAGAAAATAGCCCTGACAGCCCACATGTGCCTCACATGCAACCCACTGGTAAAATCTGGGAATTTAAATCCTGTACAGTGGGGTAAGCACATGATGTTTACATGTACAATTTCTTTGTGTTGACACACACCAAGTACAATCTCTTTGTGGTAACACACAAAGCAGAAAGCCCCCCCCCTACAGGTGATCAAAGGAAAAGAGGTGTGTCATTGTTGTGTCCGGTCATCCAATCAGAGTGAGGCATGCTGGCCTTACCCACTAAACAGAGATCACACCATACCATCACATCACACCATGCATGCCTGTGGCTCCACTGTACAAACATTGATCAGTCCGAGATTACCAGACAACCTCATCATGTGTTTTCCCCAGTATACATGGTACTGGTATATTGGTAAATACTTGTACATATGTATAAATTAATTTGAGCAGTCTATTCAGTAGCTTGCAACTCTTTACAGAAGACACAGATATGATATTACATTTACAGAGATTACAGAGATACTCATGCAATATCTTTTGAATTTCAAAGATAAATTTGCAGAATTACAAAACATTTGCCCTGTGGATAACATGAAAATGCTTTGCCACAATGGAATTGGAATATTACATGTTTTTTCAGCATACTGTATTTCAGTTACACAAGTGTTTGTAAACAGCTTTCTGTCTGCTTTTCCTTACTTCCTTTGTGGAAATGTCTGACCCAGATACTTCCTTGTATTAACACCAAATCCAAACTCAGACTGAGATTTGTCACGTCCATCAACTGTCAGTATGATATCATACCTCATATATTAAATAATGCTACTACATGTACTTTAAAACATTCAGGCATAATGTCAGGCATATTTTCATTTGCATGGCACTTCATCAATCTGGAACAGTTAGGGCATGTATGCAGAAGTGAGTGAAAGAATGGCTCACCAAAGGACCCCAAAAACCAGAGCAGGCAGATACACATGTATGAATGTTGGAAATGGCATGGCACATTGACAGGTGATTCTTGATTATCAATATTACATAATTGTGTACAGTACTTCCATGAAACTTTGCGAAGCTCTTTGCCACAGATAGGCCCTACATAAAAAATGTGAAAGATAAGATTCAACATTCATGATATTGTGACAATTTATTGTGACAATTTATTCGTGATTCTCAAATGGGGACAATCAAACTACATGTACATGTACCCCAAAAGTACCAAATGCTAGTGTCACTGATTTTCATTCTGCAGGCCTGCTAGATTTTGACCAGTGTTACACTAAAATCCAAAACAATGAAGTAACTGTGCACATTTTCTACACAACGGGTAGAAATTCTAGAATGACTATTTCTGTCCATAAAAATTAACGCTAATTTAATTAATACTAGCCTAGCTCTAACAGGCCTAGGCCTATGGCCAGTTTATAGCAGTGGTCAGATATTTGTTTTGCAGACGTAGGACTAACTCATGCACCCTGTTCATGAACAGCGATACTCCAAAGTTCCCAGACTGAACAACAAACACTTATAGAAAAACCAAAAAAACTGGCCAATAGTAGTTAAGACGAATTTAGATATGGGCTTTAATTAGGCCTACAATCATCATGACCCATGGAGGAAGGATTTTGCTGACAATCACATGGCTGGCGCTGGCCAGCATCAGAGCATGGGCCTACCTGGAGAGAGCTGAATTGATCGTTTGAAGCTAAATACAGTCACACGCCAGCAGGTGAATACGATTGAAGGAATAACCACTTGAATGTCCGGAAATATCCTAGTGCCAATTAGAGGGGAGTCTTGTTCATGTTGTTGTTCCACCAACTTCAAGAATGACAGTACTAACTACGCATACATATACCTATACATGTACGTATGGTGCAGCTAGCGAAGTTCGTTTGTACTATGTAGGCCTACGGTGGACGTACAGTACATGTACACTGTACATGTAGTTTTAATCCAATATGAAAAGCTTATCATATCAGCATGCGCGATCATGACGATCGACAACCATCCGGCCGATCACGTCACCGGCGCGCGGTTTAGCGGGTTTACGTCAAATCACGTGCAAATTATTAAATCAGGTGACACTACCACATTTCAAACTCTCTTCTGAAGACTTTTTGAACAGAGAAAAAAAAAACGTCTATATGTATTTACTAAAATAATGCAAAAAATACTAATAGATAATAATATTTCCATTTTAGTTATTGACTTTTGATATGCTTCTGTTCAGACTTTAATAGAAGCAACAGCCTGAAAAAGGTCAGAATGGCGCCCTCCCACCACAGTTTGTGTTTTTTGGATCATAGCAGGTGCAGTTACACAAATTACACTACGCCTATTATAATTGGAACCCAAAAAAGTTAAATTATGTGGCACATGGTTCATGAACATTCATATCTATCTAAAAATGAGACTAACGTTAATTTTGTCAGGTAGGCCTACTACTTAGCATAGGAGTAGTACTACTGTACTGGTAAGTAGTAGCATGGAGAATTTCTCCATGGTAGTAGTGATTGTCGGTCTTGGGGCGAGTTGGTAAGGGGCGAGTCGGTCAGGGGGCGAGTTGACCAAACACCGTAGTAGTATTACTAGTCATGCTAGTACTATTACGGCCAAGGACTACTGCTACTACGTGAACATTAGCTACGGCAGTGCTACCAGTACCACTGCTATCATGGCTACTACAGTGCTACAGTGCTACTGCTGCTACAGTACAGAGCTAGCTAGGGCCTAGGCCTACCATCTGACTATGGCATGATGGCTACCCAGCGCAGCAGTACCCAGTCATGTCATACATCATACATGCACAACATGTCGTAGGCTAGGGCATATCGCCATGATCATGGAGCATGTGTAGTACCCTAGCCGAGTCAGTGGATTGCATTGTGACAAGGTGACTAATGTCCAGGGTAGGCCTAAAATTTATAAAACTTCCTCCTGCAATGTGAAATTGTTTTCAATGGTTTTTGGCTTAGGCCTTGGGAATACAAATTTTAGATTTGCATCCACCGCTTCCATGGTCCAAAACACCCTGCCGAAAAAGTTTTTCGTTATTTCCCAAAAAATTCATTATTTTCAGAAAAATGCAGGAATAAAAAAATCCATTTCAAATCCTAAATCATACGGCAGTAAAAGAGTCCAAAATGTGTATATCTACGCATACCTACCCACTACTACTGAGTACTACACGAATGATCAAATTCTGTAAGACTGTAATGTGCGTACGTGTAAAGCACTGCCCTGGCCCAGCCGGGAATACATGTACATATGGAAGTATCCACCTAGCATGGACATTACTGTACATTTAGGACGTGTATATGTAAATGATGTACAAGCAATCCCGTTAGTGCTGCAAGGCCGTGCAGCTTCCGTCCCGTTGTGTGTCGACTTGCCTTAGCCGGCCGGCCAGCCAGCTGCGAGTATACAGCATGCTGTATCCATTCAAAACTTGTTCTGTTTGACAACTTGATGCCTTCATTTGCCTTATATGGAACTTGAGGTCGTGGCTACTTGCAGCTGGCGTACCAATTATTGAAATGAATATGCATTAAGCTCACTTGAATGTATGGAGAATTTAGCAGTGTCATTTACCAGGGAATGCAGTATATTGTATGTTGCTGTTGATCTTTTGTGAATTCTTACTACGTACTTTACATATTCATCACACTTGGCCATTTCACGCTCCACACACTGTCATATACGAAAAATAATGAATTATGGAAAATGAAAAAAGCCTGATGTTTTTCCAAATTGTTCCAAACGCAAATCTAAAACTTTCATTCTCATGGCCATAAGTGTCGTTCACAAGTGCCTTGTATCCATTACTCCATAACTGCTTTGTTGAATTACTAAATACGTCTGCGATTGACATTTTTTGCAGGAAATTTAGCACAACTCCACGCTTGTAAACGATCTACGTTCTAGTACGCATTTGCACATGCGGGAAATGCATAGTAACGGACCGCCCCTTACGCATGCACGGAAAAGCCGTGAAGAAGTGGGCGTTGGCGTGAAGAAGTCGCAGATAAGGCCGTGTCTGAAACGGGCTTATAGAGCTACAGCTAGGTCTGTTGTCCGTACGTCTCTACGCATTTCCAATGGAGCAAAGACCTAGACCTAGCTCTATAGACAACATATAACTGACGAAATGTGGGACGAGCTTTATTGTAATGAAAGCCATTTAACAAAAGCAATAATCATGTTTGTGTAAAAACCATCACCTACATTTCAGGGCATGTTTGATGGGGATTGTATATTTGGGGACCCCGTTTCTTTAATGGAAGAGAGACCTACATTTTAACGTTTGGATTCACCTTGGCAGATGACTGTGACATCATCATGCTCAATAACTGTAGGTAGGTAGGGTTGATATGAAGAGAGGGTAGGGTTTTCAGTTTTGAGGGAAATTATAAGGGGAAACTAAGTGTTTTAAAACATGACACATTGTGGATTCAAATTTGCGTGGCTGGTTTGTCAATGGTAAAATCACATTTTCACATGATTTACCAATTGATTGAAATTTCCAAAAATAGGGTCAGTGCAATAAAAGGAGCATTGCCATTGGGTTTTTTTGGGGGGGGGGCTGACCAGTTTTACCAGATTAAAATGACAAAAATGGAGGGGGTCGCCGAATACACAATTCCCTGTTTGGCCTTGAAAAACCTCATACCCCAAGTTGCCTCTGTGGGATTGAGTTCTGTGTGTATACATGTACATTGTGGTGAAATGGCATGCACAATGTACAATGTGCATGGTGGCGCAGTTTGTGTTTGGCTGTGCAAATTTCTGTCATTTGTTTATCTCAGGAAAGATGGATGAAAGACATCAGAAACGCCAGGAAACTGTTGATCAGCTGACGGCATTCATCGATTCTAGTCACCATCAACTTGATGAGCTACTCTCTCGCTTACAGTGGGACAAGGAAGATATACTGGTAAGTTGCTTCATTTCTCTGTCATGTGATACTTGTAGCTGAGAAGTGAAAGAACACTTTCATGTACAAAACATTACAGTCCCTGACCTAAAAATGAGGATTGGAGTTCACATCATGATGTAAAACTGTGATTTCCAAACAAGAAAGTTGGTTGTATTGTGTTCTCACTGTCAATTATAAAAAAGTGCAGTGAAGCCTGTCAGCTGATTTCACGAAACTTTCTGCAATGCCAAAACTTCACTTATAGCACATTTTATTGCATGCATAGGACACATAAATTAGGAGCAATTTCACGAAACTTACACACTACACTAATTCTGTGATTTGCACAACAAATTATGACATAAAAATAAAAATGATGTACAGACAAACAAGACTCCAATTAGGTGTGATGTGATTGATGCCATTTTAAGAAGATTTTTTACTTAAAAAATTACGCACCTACTAATTTTTGCCTTTCATCCCAAAACATGAGATTATGTCCACAACTTGAAGTCAAAAATCCTCTCAAAAATGAGATCTCAACACAACATTTTTAGCGTTTATATATCTTAAGTACACTCAGCAAGTGGATTGTTATCTGTATTTTGAGACTGGTCCAATGAATGTGCAAAGCGTATATTTTAAAAACGTGAACGTGAAACATTTTCCAAAATAGATTTCTCTTGTTCAGCAGAACCAGAATGAGAAAAAGATGAAGTTGTGTCCCATTAACTCACACCACCTTGTTCCAGAGACGTGCTTGGAGCAGCACACCCTTGAATGTGAGCTTGTGGCTGAAGGTTACTCCAGGCAAGAACAGGTGTGAACAAAACATTCCGATATTTGGCCCATAAAATCCTTCCATGAGACATTTAGTCCTTGGTCTTTTTTAAAACTTGCAACTTTTAAAGCTTGCATTGCATCTGGTTTTGAGCATTCTGTTCGAAGACCCTGCATTCCTGGGAAAATGTTCCATTTTTGTCTCTGTCTCTGACATCAACTTAGGCTCAAGCTTTGTAACTATAGGACCTTTTCCCACATCTTATTGCCATCCCTTTTCTCTTGTTTTGCGGGGAAGAGTTTTACTTTATGCATTCCTTAACTTGTTCATCTTTCAGAAAGAAATACCACGCTCAAACAGTTTCTTCTATGAACGGTCCTCGTCAGTTGTGCCAGTTTTCATAGGTATGGCTCTTCTGATATGTTTATTGGAGATGAGTTAATTTTCGTTTGTAACAGGAAATCTTTAACATTACGGAGTACAGGCCAATCAACCTGTTGACACTGACTTTGCTGTCTACTGCTTTTTGCCTGTATTTTCAGCTGAATTAAGCAAGCCAATACAAACTTTGAAATTGAATCTGCGTCTAATAACCTTCTTTTGTTTTTCTGTAGACAAGGAAGCACAAGAAGATATCTTATCGCGAGTTCCAGGTAAAGTTTAGGTAGTGTTCAGTTTACTCAAATGAACTTTTTTTACTAATAGAACAGGCTAAATATTTGTATGTATAATTTAACACTGGTTTCCCATGGGCTGTTTATGCTGAGAGTTGACAGAATGGGTGATAGTGAATTGAAACATTGTATTAGAAACCTGAACAACACTTCAAAGATATCACATGGAGAAATGGTGCTCTAACCGATCAGGGATGTCAGTAATTGTTACATCGTAGACTGACTTGCATGGTTGAACGCTTCATCATGCCTTTGATTATTCTGCACAGTTGCTGTCATGTGAAGTCAGCAATTGTCATATTGCGTTGTTCTTGCGTACTTGTGTAAGAGATGGTATCAAACACCATTTCCTGTCACTATGGTTGCCACTCCACTGTATAAATGCTATTGCTTCACAGTAATTTATTTAACCTAAGGTCAGTGCTCAAAAGTTATTGACTCACATACTGTAACGAGATTTGCTGTCAAAAACAGAGCGGGAATCATTTTCAAAATGCGGACAGACTTTTGTTGTTGTTAATAGAACCATAGAACATGTAACTTGAAACTGCAATCCATGGAGTTCTGCATACTTCAACCCATCTTAAGACTGGTAATTACATAACAGAGTTGACAGGTCTATAAATTTCCTGGCTTTAATACAGAAATGCTGATTGACTAATTTCTCTCTTTTTTACAGTGAGCAAGTGTTTGCACTCCAGAAAGGTGCACTCTAGTGATTCAGTCGCAGTCACTCAACATTATATCCTTACACTGTATCCTCTTTTTCTCTCACTGAAAATCCTATTATACCCACAATGATCTGACAAATCAGTTTTTTTTGGGGGGGGGGGAGATGGCAATGCGTAAAGTTTGGTGGGAATAACCTTATGTGGCAGGATTGAGGAAGTAGGCTAATCCAGGGAGACACCATAACTGCAGTGGTGCCACACTCATGCACGTGCATGTGGCAAATCACGACACCCTATCGGTCAAAGATGCATGTCACAAGTGTGTACTCCCTACCTATGCACAAAGTGTTGTGCTGTTGTTGTAATAGGTTCTGATTCTGATCGCTGAATTACACTGTAGACTAGCCAGCATCACTTGGCACAGGGCTTTATACCCAGTACAAGGGGAATGGTGTTCGAAACCCATATGAGCCAACCTGTGAGGTTTGCCCCTACAAACTCGCAGAAAGTTCTTAGCATACAATGCTTAGAAAAATGTTGGCAAAGGGGAAATTAGCAGCAAAAATGTCTGTACGTCTGAGACGCTTTGGCCCAGGTTCTTAGTGTGATACACATTTAGTCAAAACGTCTTTGAGACCATCTCAAGACCCCAGCACACTAGNTTTAAGTTGCAAGCTATTCAAACAAACTGGAACAAAAGAATTCCTTTGTTACTGTTTACCATCTTCCTTGTGACTGGACTTCTAAACGTCTTGTGCATGGTCCTGTGATCTTGTGAAAGGTCTTGTGTTGGTCTTGACTACAGCACTGCTAGTTCTAGAGTTCCTCCAGAAGTCTAGCTGGTCATGTGAAGCCAAATATACATGTGTATGAAGGCGATCACAGGTTACCGGAGGGGGTAGGGTCTAGAAAATGCTGTCACCAGGAGGTCCGGAATTGTATGAACAGTATTCATGTGTCGGCCATTTTGAATTGAAAGCAAGGTTAACTTTTCATTTTCTGAACCGTAGAGTAAAAGTTACAGCAACAAAATAAAAGTTTATGACAAATTAATGTCAGTTTACATTTGTAATTTTTAATTTGTTTTAAGCCATGTTTAAAAACTGAAAGTGAGGCTGAAACCCCAAACTGTCTAGCTCCATCCTTTTAACCAGTCTATACTCATAATAGATTCAGGGAACACAAATGAAAAAAAGCTTTGCATGGATATGGTCTGTTGGGTCAACAGAGATCAAAAGTTAAGAAGGAACCATTGTAATCTCCAAGCCCTCCACATTTCTCCAAGTAAAAACTTCAAATCAATTGTGTAGTAATGAGTTCTAACATACATCACAAAATAAGAAATCGATGTCAAACTTGTCTTATTTGGTTTGTAGGAAGCTCAGCTGGCAAGGATGTGCCACGAACCGTCGACCGTATGGATAAGGCTTTCACATCGGCTGAGAAGCTAGCCATTCATGTGGCTGTCTTGGAGAAATCGAAGGCTTCAAGAGAAAAAGATACCGTATCGCTGCAAGATTTGGAGTTCAACCAAGAGGCACCCCTTAAGACAGGTAATAGACCACTTTCATTTTACCTACAACTTGTATGGGCAGCCAAAGTTTGCAGAAATATCACTTCATGGTTGGCTTTCAAATTTACCTCCAATTCGCTGAAAATTGACATTTTTCCCCATAATTTTGAAAAGGGTAATATTTTCATCTAGTATTAAGTAGTACACTTATTATCCGGTATTCTGTTAGCAGACCCTGTACCTCTCTCGTAACAAGACATTATCCATGCATAGACCATGTTTCCATGTCTCATTTGTCACCTGTGTTTGATTTCTGTCCAAAATGTTCATTGAAGATAGTCAAGCAGTAATACTTGTATGCAGAAACAGCAGAATTAATGCAAACTCCCTCAAGATTTTTTCAAAGAACCATCCTGACTTCTGCAGAACCAACCGCCATGCAGGGATTATGGGTTTGTGCTAATGGCTTCTGGTTTAAGCCCTCACTGAGCCGAGATTGTCATTGAAACCTGAAGCCAGACTTTATCATGTGCATTCTCCTGGCCCACAGTTTCACACTGCAAAGTGCTGTGCACTGTGGGGAAATCAAATTATCCACAGATAATTTTGTAGGCATCCTTCTGATGCAAAATGAAATTTCCATGTTTTTTGTTGGTAACCGATTGATGAAGATTGAATTGAATCCTGATGGTGTCTGTAAATGAATTTTAATTGTCCCTGCCATCTTTACAAAGTCCCATCCTTACAAAGTACCGGGATGAGCTAATCCATTTCACAGAAGTTTGTGAATTACAGACGTTGGAAAGCATTGTACAGGTTGCCTGCTGCCTTAAATCAATAATGGCACATTGAAGGGCAATTTCAATCAGTGACAAATTGTCAACCAATGACTGGTAACCTTTGCATGAAATATATACCGAGCACCAGGCAAAATTGACCGGTGGTTAATTCACAAAGCTGGCACTGATCCAACTTGCCCCAGAGAGTGCTTGTCATAATGCACATGCATGTGTTGTTGTGTGTTACTGTCTAAATGAATTCCAAATTTCTACCCAGTGAGAAGTAACTTACATCAAACATCCTGAAGAAATTAGTCTGTTCCACTACCCTGTAAGGGGTGTTTGGGACTAGCAGATGAATGGATGTCAATTTCTTTCATACTTGGTGTAAGATGTTGGCTTGGAGATTCCAGAAGTGAATCTTTGACTTGCTTGCTAGCTTGGCCATGTTGGCTTTGCATTCACTTTAAAGTGGTATTATTGCTGCAGCCTAGCAGTGGGTAAATTTGGATATGAAATTAACTTATTTCTAACTGGAGTATGACTGACGCAGACAAAATATTTTGAGCTTTGAGTAAGTTGTAACTTAATAGTTTTACATAAATTTTAGAACCTGCCAGTCGGGTTCTACCAGACTGTAACATTCAACCTGCGATTCTTTGTGTTGCATTCTTCATTGATGTGCAGATGAATCGGCTAAGCCCAAAACTAGACTGGAGATTCTGGCCGAGATGCGCGACTACAAACGACGCCGGCAGAGCTACCGTGCCAAGAATGTTCACATCACCAGGCGGTCCCAGACAGAGGTAAAAAATATGAGCGTAGGTCCACAATAGATGAGAACAAAATGCCCCGCAGAAAGTCGGCCCGAATTCACCACTCATTCTTGGTTTTTTTTCTGGACGTCTTACACAGATCATGAGGGAGGTGATCGAAGCTCAGATGAATGAGTTACAACAGGCCTTGCAGGGGGATGATCGATCTGTTCAAAACTCTGAGCCCAGGGGGCGCTCTTCAAGCCCAGACAAGCCGAGATCACGTGATGCCAGTCACAGTCCCCTGCGCTCGAGGCCCAGGCCAGATGATAGATGGAGTCAGCACCCCCAGGATTCCAGGGGGCGCGGAACCTCTAACCGTTCAAGCTACGAGGATGAAGCTGATTATCATCCAGTCAGGCATGCAGACGCCAGGTCACGTGATCGGAGTCGGAGTCCCAGACCATCCAGCTCGAGAAAAGACAGTCATCAAGACAGGCATGGCAGATGCCACGAGATCTCCCCAAGTTCGCTCATCAAGGTTGAGAAAATTGAGGGCAGGAAATCGCATGAATCAAGTGGAAGCCCCAGGCCGTCAGAGCCCGGCACAGGTGGAGACTCTACCAGCAGATCAAGCACACCGCTAACTATGATGGTGCCCTATATTAAAGTGGAGAGAGATACTCAGGCGCACAGTCCCTCACAAGGCAGAGGGGACGAGAGAGAGAAGGAAGACAGAAGAGAACGTCATCATTCCAAGCACAAACATCACCATAAGCACAAGAAGCATCACAGTAGAGACAGTAGATAATTTACCCATACATGTTGAAACAGAGTCCCCAAGGTGAATAATAATAATTACATTTATATAGGGTCACTTTAAATTTAATTGTCAGTAGTGCTTTACGTTGTTAAAACATGCGAGACAAAAAAAATCGAGATTGAAAGTGAAATACAAAATACACTTCAAAACTCTGCCCCCTGTAAATTATTTCCCCAAAATTCATGAACCATATGAATCTTGACATGGTTGCTCTGGATCTTTTCAAGTGCAGTTTGATATGTAAAATGGCACGACTGGGTTAATCTGAAACCGGTGCTGAAATCCTTGTCGACTTTGGCCCTATGAATCTTCCTATGAATTCATATATACCATGGATGCAGAAAAGAGCATTTCATTTGAAGGTAAATGCTGTGTTACACAGGACAGATAATTTTGACAATGAAGCCTGTTGATTATGTTAATTTGATGTCAAGGAAAGTTATAAAATTGCTTTTTCCAATGATACTGGTCTGTAATTCAAGCTTAAAACCCTCTCACTTGAAGTCCCAGTGACTGCACTCCTTCATGAAGTATGAATAGTAACAAGCTTCAGAAAATGTTTGAAAAGCTGAGTTACATACATTGCACTTCTAAAATGCAAAAAAAAGTGGCAAGTTTTTAATTTCACAAATGAATTCATGATTTCAAGTTTGACGACGCAAGGTAAGATATTTGAACCATGCACATGGGATATACACGTACTTCACTTTTTTGAAGTAATTTTCATGACAAATCTGGTTCATGCCCAGCCGAGAGCTAGGTTGCAGTTTTACATTGGCCCCTAAACAGAAATCTTTAAATCGGTTCAAAATCCTCAGATGTTCTCTTCATGTTCCGATTATAAAAACTACTTCAAATCATATACATGTACATGAACAAACATTGTTGGGTTCAGTGCAGGGAGTTCCAACACTGCATAAATTTGCAAGTTTTAAGTGAAGTACAAAATATTGAGATCATTACCAAGCTGGACGAAATCAATTGACACTTTTCTTCACTTCGCTGGTTTTTTTTTCTATTTAGCATACAAAAATGAACAATGCAAACTTGGGCAGTTTGTACTATATAGGACACAGGGTTTTATTTTCTAACTGCTGTAACAGGAGAGACTGATAAAAGTCTAACCGCGCGAATAAATTCAACCCCCACCAACTGGTAGATGAGTAGAACGCTTCTCACTTCAGTGCCTTGATGTCTGACGGCATTATGTTGACAGTGACATAGCTGGAAATGTAATTTGCTTCTAATTGTAATGGCATCAGCAACACAGCTGTGACGTTTTGTAAATCCAAGATATACATGCTATGCTATATATAAATGCTTCCCACAATTTGCCATACCTGTACAAAATACTTAATATTTTTTACATAATACTCTGTCATCACATTTAATATATATGCACAGGAAGTTTTAAATTATCTAGTTTCAGTTTTTTTCAACAATTGCCAGAGTTTCATAGATACATAAGTAAAAGAAAAGTTTAAATGTCACAAGCTTTTACGATGCCTAGAAATTGGAAAAGAATGACCCATTTTCCCCAACTGTACTAAAATGTATACTTCACATGATAACTTCAAATGGTTATATCAGTCTAAATGAAAGTCCTGATATAGTCAATTTGACATCAGGCACATATGCAAAGTACTACATGTATTCCCCCTCTGCGATTTTGAGTAAAGCTGCTTGTCAGGTTTCCTGATTTGCTGCAACTCCTTCCAAATGTAGACTACATTTCTGTTTTTGCACAATGGTGAAAAACTTGGCTTGACCAAGAGAGCCACCACCTACTTGACCAGCGACATTCACATGATCAATTGCATGCCAGAGAAGGAAAACACAACAGACGTGCATAATGCAACGGTGGAAAGGTCGGAAGTGCATTGCAGGAATATACATCTTTTAGAAATGTTTTATTGGGGCAAGACATACGATAAAGTGACATGATTAAGCACTACACATTGCAAGCCATAGCAAACAGTTTTCAATTCCACAGTGAAATAAACACATAGAATGCAAAACTAACCGGAAATAAATAAAATGGCTATGATTTTACTAAAATTCTGTGACCTCCAAAGACTATCTCAAATGATCCTCAGAGGGCTTGAAGAAAAATTCCAAAAAGTGACAGACAAAGCTGGTTGAAATGTAAAAGTACTGGCTAAATGTATAACATGAGATGACTTTTCATAGAAATGTGTTTCTTGGAGGATTCTTTATTGTGACTTAATGAAGCACCATTTGTTGTTATGGTTACGCCTCTTGCATCATTTGCCTGCCTAGATACTCCCTGCGAGAAGCAAAAGAAAAGAGAAAGTAATGTCAACACAAATGCACACAGTGCAACAGTACAACAAACATGCACGCGGCGGGAAAGACACTAGGAACAACAGCAGTAGTCTGGCAGACAGGCATAACGGGCAGAGCCAGTGAGGAAGAAGACACAGGGAACATGCCTTCAGGATGCTGACCGCGGGACTTGGACAAGAAACTTTGGTTGCATATACAGATCCATGAATGCACAAGATCACGACCAGATGCAATGAGGCGATGGGTGGACAGGTGCAAAAGAAAGGCCGGATGGTAATACTGTAGTTGTGGGCTACAATGAACCTTCGAAACAGCTACTTGGAAAGACCAGGGGAACATGTCTAATGGAAGAAAGACAATTATTCCTAGGCATCTGAAATACTCATTTCACATTTTCCTCAATCCTCAGTATTATTTTCATGTCAGTACTGGCCCCTGTTTAGCTCATCAATTGTAAGGTGAAGGTACGTTGTATCTATGACTTTTTTTTTTGAAACAATTCCAGCAACATTCACAATCAAGTTCTCCTACGCATACACACGGCATTATTGTTGGCAACGTTGCTGTGTACAATATAATGTGTTATTCGGTTTACCCTCAAAATTTTCACCGGCCAAGACCTGCAACTTCCACTTCATGAATGATATAGTCACCATCTGTCCAAAAATATTCAAACTGTAATATGCATATTGAGCATACGAATACAAGCTTGTGTACTCGCTCAGTTAATCCAGCACGTATTCAAAGTTGACTCTCATGAGTAAGTTACTCAGATGGAGCAATAACAGGCATGATGGGGGCATACCAGTTGTGGACCATGAGTTTCTGCACGGCAAGAAGTGCTTCGTAGCGGACGTTGGGATCTTCATGGGTCATGTACTGCATGACTAGATGCTTGCATCCCAGCTGCTCGACGATGCTGCGTGGCAAGTGAAACCAAGAGCAGATTACGACAACAGTAGACTAAAGCTAGAAGCAATGGACCAATTGTGCCCGCAAAGTCACGTGACTTATATTGGGTATCAAACATCGACAGACATCGCGTCTTCTAATAGAAAAGCGAGCCATAAAGGTCATTTACCAAAAATATAGCTTTTCAAATTTTCCATTGAATTGAAGGTCGAATATTCGAATAGTGAATTATGCGAATTGAGTCAGCCCGACTGAACTTTTAAGCGCAGAATCCTTTACTGTGCGCATTTCTGAGTCATTTCCTAGCCAAGTTGCCCGACATGCATACTGTGGTATATGTTTTTGCTATCGTAAGCGTGGGTTCTGGCTCGCGACAACCAAAGCCATTCACTTAGGCCCTGATAGTTGATTCTGAAGAATTTGACTCCATGAGGTTAGCATCAACTCTATCAAAAAGGCTCAAACTTGGCTACTGACTTTTTGCCTCGTGGGTAGTGCCGGACATACTCGCCGATGTCGTGGGAGCTAACACACAGTACCAGGGGGTCTTTGGACGTCTCTAGAAGTCGGGTCAATATCCTGATGAATGCAAAGAATTTCTGACTGGTCAGAGAAATCAAACTTACCAGTGAACTACATGTACAAATGGATCAAGAACATCCAAAAAACTTGTTTAAAGAATACAATTGAAAATCATATCTACATGAACCACAGAGTGGGTATTTCATTCATCTTCGTAAAATTGCCTCCAGTATGTCCATAATGAAAAGTTTTATGTTCCTGAAAATGCTGTTAAGATTTGTGAAAACCTGCACTCTACATTTTCCTCACAATTGGCAAAATGATCTGACATAAGACAGAATTCTTGTGGGCGACAAGTCAATGAGTAAGGATTGTCCCTACAGGAAATTAAGTTACCAGTGCTAGATTTTGGTGGAATTTATTAACATTATGTGACCCCCCCATCTTCCAGATTTGCTCCAGTCTCCTGCCAACAACCTCTTGCTCACTAAAACAGATGATGACATGTACCCACCTCATCCAAATACAGTAAGCTGGCCAGCTTGGATCAGAATGACCAATGGACTGTACCACAAACAGATGATGGAACATTCTATGCCATCAAACCCTTAGCTTTTCAAGTCTGATCTTGGGGGTTGCTGAATCTCATGTTGCCTCTCTCTAGCTGAACTTGATTTTGTCCTCCCCATCTTCAGAGCAAATTCTTAACTTCCAAGTTTTTTGAAATCTTGTTTTTCTTTGTTTTTTCCAATTTTCCACAACAAAGTTTTCCTTGTAACAAGGTTCTCTGGAAACAATTTGGCTAGTCATAGCAATCTTATTAACATGATAGCTGACTCTACTTATTTCCATGTTTTGAACTCACTTGAGCAGTTCGTAATTCTTTTCGTTTAGTCTCATGGCATTTTCCCTCCAAAACTTCTCACTCCTGTGAACGGGGCTCCACTCCAGACGACCTGATTTGACCTCTGATGAATATTCATCAAAAGAGCTAAAAAAAGAAAAAATTGATATAACTATAAAACTGATGAAGCAAATGAAAGCCAATAAACTGAAACAAAAAGTCAAAGGTCATTTATTTGTAGGCAGTAACAGTTTGGAATTGCATGAATATTGTGAACAAAAACAATATTTTAAACCGTAAAAGAATGTATGTGGGTGTGAGAGTGTGTAAACGCCTTTATCATGGACCTAAAACAATAGGGGTCAACAGGGTCCACGGTTGCCAAAGAGTCCACAGTTGGAAAACGTGTATACAAAGTTACTTTGATAATTAACATGTATGCACGTAGACTTCACAATTTTCTTCCTCTATTGGTAATCAAGTTTCTTTCAGCCATTGGCTTTGTTAGACTTTGCTGTGGATGCCAGAATTTTATCGTCCAATTTACGAAAGGTGCCATGTGTCTCTTGGGCCATGTCCAACGTCATGCACTGGTTCACCACTGGAACTATTTTCAGCAAAATTTCTCCTCAACAATCATAACAGTAACTCCCCACATCAACGTACTTGTAGGATTTGATACTTATGGAGAGGAGGTGTGTTGATCATTCTCCCTCCCCTTTCCCAATCCACGCTCCTCCCCTAAATCAACCCACCTGAGATCGACCATGCTGTTCTGCAGTTTATCCACCAAATACTCGATATCTTCCGTGATGTCGGGATCTTCAATCTTCTGGCCTTGCAGGACCTCCAGTTGCTTCAAGACTTTGCACTGAATCATGGCCAAGGCGTTTTCCTGAACCACTTCCTTCTCTTCTGGCTTCTCAATCATATTCTGGAGGGACATTGGTGAATGCAAGCATTTGGCACTGTCGAATCTTTCATTCAACTCCACACAATCCAGTATTGTCATACACCCCTGGCAAATTCAGTCTGTCCCTGGATATTATGTATTGATATAATGCTCTCTACTTTACTAACATCCTTTTGGTGACTAGTATGAAAGCAGCTTATAAAACAGTTTAAAGAAAAATTATGGAGTAAGTCGAGTACCCTCCGGTTCGTATCAGAACCACACATACTCACAAAAGAGACACTTTGCATGGTGATACCGCAAACCTATTACCTTTAAAAGAAAATTCTTGAATACACTAGCTTAAGCCAGCCCCAAACGGGCTAATCATTGCAAGACTAGTTTAAAATGTAGACTGCATCAAAGAAAAGCTGACAGTGAAAGTTGAAAGACTGCCTAAAATGCGGAGAAAGCTTTATACCGCAAACCTGTCTCAGGGCTGCTTTGAATTTATGGAGTGATATCTCACCCTGAAGACTAGCAGGATAATCCTAGTGACCTTCTCCTTGACCGATTCACTCAGGATGTCTGCAAGAACTGGGATGATGCTGTACCTGAAACAACACAAGAACAGTAGGACAATGACAATTACACTAGATGCTTTGCACGGTGGAGATAGACTAAAGAGAGGGCTTGTGGTAACACCATGTGGACAGATCTCTTTTGGAAGAGGTTTGGTTCTGATATGAACCGTTAACTGTGAACTCGATGTTTCAACCACTGTCCCCTGGTTGTCCTCAAGTGTGGAATACTGGACTTCGCATGTTCCTGTGCTCCACTAAAGTCCAGCATTCCACTCCTGAGGACGACCACAGCACACTGGTCGAAACATCCAGTATACACTCATTAGTTAGTTCTTATCAGAACCACACCTCTTCTAAAAGAGATCCATCCACATGATGTCACTGCCTGCCCTCTACTAATTTACTTAGACAGCTACGTTTAAGGACAGGTATACATGTGTATATTCATCGTTCACGCTAAATGCTCTTTGAAGTTCTACTTAAATAGGAACTTGTTGGAGTGAAGGCAAGGAATGGAATAGATCAACATCAACAAGAAAGGTGGCCACAAAAAATAAAGAACTTAAACAGTGGCCATAAAGCCTTGGAAAAAAAATGGCATCTCTAGTGGGAATTTGCATCATAATCACCAGCTTCACAATAGTCCCCACTTTGAAAAGAGGCAACGTGAATGTGGAAGCGTGAGTAGAACCGCATGCCACCGAACAATGAGCCTTTTCACTATGTAATTCGAAGCGTGCAGAGCACGCAGGGCCACAAACCGAGAATTTGCGGTTTGGCAGGTGGCCTCTGAGGCCAAGCGAGGCTGGAATTCTCGGAGTTGGCTCTCAGAAAAAAGTTCCCGTCGTCAAGGGATTAACAACTGACTTGTTCCCAAGAACTTGGCTGTGGACAAGTTACAAGCGATATTTTACATCACACAGCATTTGGGCATTAACCACTTCATGCCGGGGCATTTTTCAATGTTGATGATGCTGGGCCAGCATGACTATCATTTTTTCCGTTTTCAAAATCCTTCAAAAATTCATCATTCCATTTAACGG